CAGAGAAGTATCATCTGCATACTGAGAGAAGATGTTAGGGTCTTAAGGTGCTTTACCAAAATTGTGAATTTCATGACCCTTGGGTATCACGTTTCCCCCTTGGGCGGGGGTAAACTTTACTATAGTTTATATAGGGAAATCACATTTTGGACCAACATTTGTTTAATTTCCATTGGAAGTTATTCAATTTGGGTTAGCATTATCAGTATTGGATAGCAGTTTGATGGTATATGCACATATCAGCCCTGACTGACCCCCCGGGGCTGATGGGTGGGGCCAAAAAGGGTTGAATTGACTGAAATTTCAAAAATCTTCTTCTCAAAGACCCAGATATGGTAGAATCAAACACTCTTCATAGATGGAAGGGTCTTAAGGTTTATGACCCTAGGGTCTCACGTTTACCCCCTGGGGAGGGGGGGGGGGCAAAATTTATTATGGTTTATAATGGCAAATGATACTTTGAATATTACATGTTAATAACTTGATTGGAATTATAACCTTGAGTTGACAGTTGAAAATTTTGAGCCAGCCCTACCCCCAAGGGCTGTAGGGTGGGGCCCAAAGGAGTCAGTGTGCTAAAATTTCTACATTTTCCTTGTTTAGAATCAGAGGTGCTAGTTTCAAATACTTTTTAGTCTTAAATCTGTATGCTAGATATTGAATAAGGTGGTTTTATTGTTTTTTGTCACTTTGAATAATATTTCTGTACATGTTAAAAACAAAATCAACTCTCTGTATAAATATATCAGGTGACCGTTAAGGCCCATGGGCCTCTTGTTTAAACAAAGAATTTACTGGTTCATATACAAATCAAAGATTTGATCTTGAAAATAGTAACATTTGTATATTTTGACCATCTCAACAATACTTAAAGATGTAGAAAACTTCTTCAGTCTGTGTTTGGTTACATTTGATACTTGCCTGACTACCTGAGATTGGATGAGCTACCACACAGATTTTACCATTGTTTTACATGGCATTTAGGCTTCAGTTAATAAGCCTTAGGTAAAGATTCAGTGACTACTTGTTCTAGTATTTCTGTAATAGAGCCTTGTGTTGTGTTACAGTGAGTTGGTGAAGGACTATCGGAAATTGTCCAAAGAGTTAAGAGAAGGGGAACACAAGGAACGGGTCGTGAAACAGCGAGCTGCAGAGGCTGCTGTGGTACGAGGCAGGTGAGTTTTATTAGTGTTGTTACCAGGTACTTTCAAATAACTATGAACAAAAATTGAAAAATATCAATTAAGTTTTAATGAAAAAACATTCAAATTTTGAATCGCCTATGAAATTTTTAAAAAGCAGTTATTTGTAAGCAGATATTTTGATACAATAATTCATTGTTGATTGTGCTTTCTAATCAAAGTATATACTTATTGTTCTGTCTCATTAAAATAATTGGAACACAAAGCCAGAATTTGTAGAGATCTGACATGTTACATTTCAGCCCTGTGAGGAGGAGGAGATCAGACTGTTATGACTCTGAGTTAGACCCGCAGTCCACCAAACGCACTCAGAGAATACAGCAGGTAGGTTTACAGCAGATTCCTTGGTGTTTGATGTGGGGATTTCTCATAAATCTATTTTTAAACCGCCCTTGGCGAGAGCCGAGCGGCTTATTAATTCTGTCCAGAGAACGAAATGACGGACCCACTTCCGTTCGTGGTGCGTGCGCATAATTCAGTATTGCATGCTTCAGCTATATAGTTTCGTTATCGTAAATAGAAAGTAGAATCTCTTGACACTCACCTGTGGGTTACATAAAGTCTTCTGATACTCTTCTCCAAATAATAATCCATACTTTAAATAATTGCTGAAAACAAAATCTTTATCTCCGGTGCATTCTACGAGTGTTGTGGTGGTGAAATTCGTGCACTAGGTTTTAGCAACTCGGATTGCGGTCTGGCCCTGGGGAGTGTTACGCGTGTGAAACACATATGATTCGAGAAAGCACATGTGAAGACTGTCAAGCATTAGCGCTGTCTGTGGAAGGAAGAAGTAAATATATAAACTTATAAACCGTATGAGTGATGAAGTATAACCTCTATTTTGATATTTGAAACGGGAACATATATATGCCATATCGTGCTTAGGTTGATAACGGTAGACTAATGGCTCCGAAACGAGATGATATGTGAATGTGTATGCTTATCAAACATTTTTGTAACACAGCATGCTATTTCTGGTGTATTTATTTATGAAAGTGTAACAATTTAAGAACATGACACAACTGCCGCTGCTGTTTGACAAGAATTCGCGCCGTGTCAAAATAGTATCCAATTGGGTGTAAGGGAAATAACTCTTACGTTGGTAAAGTCGCATTGGGAAATATAATTCAAATATATTCCAAGAACATTTGTGAGATTTTGTATATTCAATGACGGTAAATATAGTCGCTACAAATATTAATAATTTTCACTAATATGAATAAAAAATAAATAAAAATAAAAGGAGTACAATGTCTCTTTTCTCCATGCATGTTTTCCCACTACTGTTAATTATCCTTCATTTCACAAGCAAAAAATGCACCTATTCTTTATTATCCATTCACCGATTGCCTGATTTTCAATTAGCAGAATACAGAACACATATCTGAGGTATTATAGTAGATATTGATGCTCAACGTGTTACTGAAGCAATTGAATTTGAAGTGGTGAGCGGCTGTAATGTCACACTGACATAATACTAGTTTATTTAAAGATTTATGGTCTTATATACTTGTCTAACTGATGAAAGGTGTTATTGGTTGCATTTTGACATTATTGACATGCGCATATGGCATTTTTTTTAACCTTAGGCCAAAACAAATTGTTACTTGGTTCTCAGGCCCGTGCGCATTTCCTTTTAGGGCACCGCATTGCCGATTTTTTCGTGAAAGTAATAAGAAACAAAAATGAGAATGCGCCAGCCTCTGTCTTTAAAAAAATCCGGAAAATTGGTCCCGAGTTGTTTTTACTCGTTAGTCACCCAAGTCCCGAAAACGTTTGAATAAAGATAAGGATTGAGATACAGGCAAGCGTAAAAATGATTATGACGTATTAGTCTTGTGTACAAATGGCGCTCATTTCGGTACAAATAAGGAATGGGGGGGTTCGTCATTCTCGTCTGGAACATCGTGGGGGGATTTTCGGAGGCTTGCTCTATGACGGGTCTCTACACAACTATAAAAAGACAAGTAATGCCCACAATGAACGTTTTACAAACAACACATTAAAAAAAGAATCGCCCTCGTCTTGTTTTTGCCATGTAAAATGGAGAGAGAAAAATACCGCCCTGACGCATCTCTTTTGAATAAAATTGGCCCGAGAACCAAGTTATTAACTTTATTTGACCGTTGTTGAAAAGTGATATACAGTTAATCAATTTCAGTATAGAGTGATCATGTAATCTAGATTTATGTCCATGTTGCGTTTATAAGGCTCTTTAGGATAAAAAATGAACTTGTTTTAAACTTCCTGTTTTTATATACAATAAATACAATTGTCTTCCAGGTACGAGATATGTGGAAGCAAGTGAATGATTTCTGTGATCGTGAGGCTGCTGAAAGACAGGTTATAGAATCCATCGTGGACCGTACCATGAGTCAGCACAAAATAGATGCTGCCGACATCAACATTAAGATACCTGACCTCCTCCTCCGAGAGTGTGAGCAGGAAATCCGGAGGGTAAGTCAATACAAAAAACATTGAGCCTTAACCATTCCAGTTAGCTCACACGGAGATCTGACAGGTCACAGAAAACCTGGGAGTCATTCAAACTTTTCTGGTTTATTTTATGCCCTGCCACGAATGTTTCTTGGAGTAAAAAAGGGTTCTTGTGAATGATTCATATATGTTTCATAACCTTCTTTTAACATTGTCATAATACTATTACCTTGGTAAGTAACAGATGGGTTTAAAACATAAATTGTTATCTTTCCTCCTACAAGTGCAAACTTCAGTAATTAAGTATCATCATAAAAGCGTATTCCAAATTTTAGAGTATTAAAAGTCTTTGTGTATTTTCACTGATTACTAAAAGCAACTATAGAAATACTTGTTGCTAGAGATTAATCAAGTTGGCAACTGTTACAGCGACATGTAGACAACACCTTTCATGGAGGCAAGCTGAACCTTGTTAGTCTGCTACAACTTTGGAACCTTTGTCTCCATCTGTACATTGAAAGATTACACCAAGGTAAGACTAGAATATTACAAGATTTGTTTTGTATAGAGAAGGATTACACCAAAGTATGACTTAACAATAAAACCAGTGTACTGTTACTGGATAAATCATGTACAAAGAAAGACTACTTCACAGTATGAAAAATATATCTGATAAGACTGATGCTGGATATATCATACAAACAAAGAAGGGTTATACATGTACCAGACTCTTTACAATTTCAGCACACACTTTTCCAAGCAATGATAAAACTGATAAAATAAGTTGTTCGATTTAAGCGTTTGTTTTGAGAATTGTGGAAAGCATTTTTAGTTTATTTTTTATCATATGCAAAATGTTTAGGTGTCTCAAGTATATGTTGGTAAAGATAACACATTGTCTTGTTATGTTTGTCAAATTCAGATTCCCTTAATACATCAAGTATGTATCTTACCCTGTGTGATATGTGTGTTTGCAGTAGGTGTACCCGACTTTACAAAGGACCTAGGATCTGTCACCAAACAGGTCCACAGTAACCATGCCTACCTGACCAACACCCGGACTCTTAAAAAGGAACTGACCAACAACCTGCCCAAACTGAAAGAATCTGTGGAGCAACTCCGGGAAAGTCTGGATAGTCACACTGTCCAAAACAGTACTCCACGCAGCACAAGGTCTACAGTAGGTGGATTAGAATCAACCCCAATGAGTTAATTCTTGATCAAATTTCTCTTACTTTTGATATGCCAGGATGTTTTCAGTGTGCATCGGTACGTTCACAATGTTTTGTACTATCTTAATTCTGTACCTTTTGGCTGCATCTTGATCATACTTTGCAGCACGTTGCCCAAAGGATGTGTCACAACTTTGAGCCATGTTAATATCTTTGACCCATCGAGATCATGTTGCATGGACATCTCAAATAAGTTTCAGAGGGCTGTCTTATATTTCAGAGTCAAAGTTTGTTATCAAACTTATTAAAACATTGTTGCAATTGATGCCAAGTGGCCAGTTTGTGTATGGTCAATGTGCCATGGTCAGAGGTCAGTTATAAACATCACATTGATATCTTCTTAATGTTCTGCTGTGACAACATTATGAAGCAGTATCTTTGAGATTGACCCAAGTATCCATTAATGCAGGTGAAGTGTCACAGTCTTTATTAAAGAGATCAAAGTCTACATTTCGTTAGAACAATATGGATGTCAATAAGACAAGTCCGTTGATAACAACATAGGCAAATTATCTTTTCTGTGGTTTATTCATGGGACCTCTTTTGGTGGGTGTAAAGATCCCTTTGAGATCTCTTGTTATTTATTTAAATCATTCTTTTGTGTTGCAAATACATTTATATCATTTTTCATAATTTGAACAACCTAATAATGACTACCTTTAACCCTTTCACCACTGTGGACTACAATGGACTCATCCAGATAAAGCTATGGTAGAGTCTACTAAAGTTACCTAGGGGTGAAAGGGTTAAGTTGTTGATATCTTGGCTATTCTTATTATTTTTTTAAATCAAATATCTTTGATATTTTATACATTTGGGTTTTATTTTAACAGTCACTGGGCCTCGGACTGTTGGAGCCGTCACCCTCGTTGTCCTTTACCCCGGGACAGACTGGGTCTGGAGACATGCATGTGCAATCTGCTTTACGCCGGACACCCCAAAATGGTTTGTCCTTTTGTGTCTTATTAAATACTATGAAAAATCAGGTGATGTTTTAACATATACAATGTACAAATGTTTGCTGGTTCACAACTTATGATGAAACTTAAATATCAATGAAATGAAATAATATTTTTCATCTTTAGCCAAATTGCATTTAGATTCCCATCAAGTTTGCATAGATTCTGAATACATTTTGTTGTTAGAAATACCTTGTTGAGAGCAGATATAGTGAGCAATTTGTATAACTGGTCATATTTTGAACTAAGTGACACAATTTTGTTGCCACACAATCCATATAACGGCAATGAGAATACAGACTTTAAAAGATTGGTGCCATCCAACACTTGCTGAACAACATTTATAGTTACAATTATAGATACAATTTCTTGTGAAAATTATAGCTCCTTTTACTATGTGTATACTGGTCTTTTTGCTGCAGAAACTACCCCTGAAGCTGCCAATAAGTTGGCTGAAGGTGTCTTAAAGACTGTGCGTAGAGGGCAGGGAAAGCTGTTCCAAGGCACGCCTGAGTATGCCCCTCAACTCAACATCAGTTCCTCAGATGCTAAAAAGAAGTATGTAATTGAATACTGACTGTTTCTAATAAATGTATCATTTGAATTTAGAAAAAGCATGGAACACATCCAAGCTGTTGTAAATGCTATCTTTGATGGACATATGGTTATGTAAATTACAACATGTTTGAGTGACATTTTAAAAACAATAGCCTACAGGTTTTGCTGATGATTTTTTTTGTAGGGCTCCAGTTACCAAGGTACCCAGAAAGGTCAATAAGTTGCAGAATAAGAAGGCCAAGACAAGGAACCCTGCTGAACAGCTACAGTCTACCCCCACTAATAGTCACAGTAAATCCTACACAGCTGCCCTTCCAACACGCACAGGTATAGCAACATAATATGTTGTTTCATTGTATGAGCCCTGCTCTGTTTAATACTTAAAATAGAAAAAGAAACAAAAATTGTGAAAAGCCAACTCGGGTTCTAGTAGCCCTTTGCTTTCAATTATTACATGTATGTTAATCATATTTATTTGCGGGGTTGAAGTCAAATTAATCTTTGGTTTACTAAAATCAAATCCTAAAAATTTAAGAAAATGCTAGAGTTTATATCTTTTCTAAATTATAGATAAGTTTGGATAGTCTGATTGCTTTCAAACTTCAGTACATATTGAATAAAAATACTGTCAAGGCTGACATCTGTGTGACTTTCTTTTCTATTGTTTTTCTAATTTCTGTATAACCACTTCAGAAACTGTTTCACATGTCTGTTAGCAGGTGGTGAGAACTTGAACTCCTCTTACCGAAGTGCTACATCTTCCTCTCGGGAGCAGTCCCTCAGCAGTGGAGACCGCACTCTGACTGGGATCACTAGCTGTACTGGGGGCAGCCCTACCATTGATAATACTTCCCCCAAACACCCCTCCCCCAGGACACCACCCACCCAGGTTCAGAGGTCAGCAGCTATAGAAGATCTTTCCCCAAGTGATGTCATTGTAAACAGGATGATGTCTACCAACTTTCAAGATCAGTTGGACGAGGGTAAGATATATTCTACTAACATGCTTCATTATTGCCTCAATCATAAAACTTAATAGCAATTTAACAGATTATTTTGTTCCAACACTTTGCCAGAAGTCTTTGAATTACCAGCAAGATGATGATGTTAAAAAAAATCAGTCTTTTTATTCTTTGAAAAATCACATTGTTTGTTTTTGTTTTGTTAATTTAGGACATTGTTGATAAAAAAAAAATTAAAGTTCATTTGATAGCTAATCTCTGTTATATACCAATTTAGTTCCAATTATAATTAACATGTATCTTTTTTCCAGAAGACTTTATGGGTATCATTAAGACAGGAGAGTTTGAGGGTATGCCACCATCAGGAGTAGAACAGTCCCCACAATCTATGTTATATCAAACTCCCAGGGAAGCAAACCTTTCGCATGAGTCCGTACTGTCCGAGTTACACAACTCGGAGACAGTCCAACTATCGGGTTCAAATGATTCTTCACGGTCATATGGCTCCCAGCAATCAAAATCACACAACTCTTCAACGTTATATGACTCAAGGTCGAACAACTCTCTAAAATCACTGACTGCACATCATTCAAGGTCATTTCATGAGTCTCCAAGGTCACAGGCATCACATCATTCACTGTTGGAAAGCTTAACTGGAAAAGGTTCCTTACATCATTCGTTAAGTTCAGCGAGATCACAGGACTCTAACAACTCGCCAAGGTCAGAAGGGTCACACCATTCCCATCAGTCTTTCACACGGGAAAGTGTCCACTCCATCAGCTCCAACCTGTCTCGCCCTTCAGGTTTACTGGAAGGAAGTGACCAGTCACCTAATGTTAGTCTTCACTCTGGCCACTCCGGCCACTCTGGGAGACTAAACACCTCTAAATTACGATCTTTGACTGGTGATCATCTAGATAAATCTGTTGAGCTGGATAGTTCAAGACACACCCTTCAAAACCTTCACGATTCTTCGTTTGAGCTGGAGCAGCCTGAGTTTCTACCATCAGACAGGAGTGACAAAGGGTCTGTGCAATCTGGACTACCTGTACCTCAGTATTATTCTGACCACTCACTTCCCATCAGTAATGGACATGGATCCCCCTACAGACTAGACCTGGGGTCTCCACAGGCAGATGATCTGAATCAGTCCGACGATTCCTGTCCGACATCTGCTAGGGCTTTAGTGAAATCACTCATGGAAGGTCAGTAATGTCAAACTTCTGTATTACATAACTTACGTTTGCAATATTGGTCTCTATATGGTCTTAACCCTTTCAATCCTAGGTAACTTTAGTAGACTCGACCCTTCATTGATCTGGATGAGTCCATTATGGTCTACAGTGGTGAAAGGGTTAAGATAATTTATTAAGGTATTTTTCTGCTTCTCATGAACACAAATATGATAACTGATATTTACAGCTGCTCACTGATCAATGTTACCTCAAAGGTACTCCAACAATGTTAGAGGTTTTACACGGCGAAAAACTTTTGACAGGCGCCGCGTAACCTCTAACTGCCCATAGCTGATTTTCCCGATGCTGACGATCACATTTTCAAAGTTCGGATTAAGAAAGTGTATATCGTGTTTACATACATTTAAATGGTCAAAAGGGTCCAAGAAATATTCCTTTCCATAAATCCATGATTATATGAGAAAAAATGCATGTCAAAGACATAAATAATGAGCTTTTCCTCATTCGAAGCGAAGCAGACAGCATTTGCCATGATTTTTCCGGTAAATGCAAAAATGGATTACATGTAATGTTTCACAAGCGGAATACAAACAAACTCCGTATCATTTCGTTCCGTTTGAAATCCCCCCTGCTATTTTGTATTAATCCAGAAGCCATGTTTTAAATGTAGGTCAGAGATGTGCTACAACGACATGGACATGTATTTTGAGTGTTCTATTCCGTAATATACTATATATTTGTGTCTGTGACATACATATGAGATCTATATTATATAAACCGTGAGTAGACATCGTTGTCATGAACTGTTAACCACTTAAGTGAGTTTTTCAAGCCGATTTTGTTCCGCCCGGATTTCGGGCGGAAACTGCATCAAAGAATTAGTGCTTCGGAAATGAGAGGTCGCAGTCAGCAAAATCATATCTGATTGAAAAAAGGCCGACCAGCGGCCTCTCATGTTATGGGAGTACCTCAAAGGATGCTATTTTTCAACATTTGAGACCATATCGGCTAGATTATAAGGTTGTTGTCAGTTTATTAGTGCCCCATTTCAAGATATAAATCTTATATTCATCTCTTTAATTATGCATTTGTCTGCAAACCATTTGCATTCAAACTCACATGTGTGTTGAAGAATTGCTAAGAGTGTGAGCTCTATGTTTTTGATTTGTTTCTCAATTTACTTTGACCACCAGGGATTTTAGTGATATCTACCTGACTGCATTCACACTCATGCAGAACCTTACTGATCTGTTTATATACTGGTCCTTTCAATTTCTGTATAACTTCAGTTGATAGGATAATTGAGGAAAATAAAAAAACACATAAATGAAAAGATCAGATTTGAATTGATGGAAGGCTATAAATTCAGATTTTACAGATAAAGATTATGTTATTATTCACAAGAGTTAAATGTAATTAAGTGCAAATTTCCCTTGATGTTGGTTGCTGTATGTGTTTTACAACAGTGTGTGACTTATTACCGGAGGCTGACCAGCCGGAGCCGGAGCCAGAGCCTGTGATGATGGCCAGTCCGCTGTCTAAGGAGGTCAGGGACATGTGGAAGGAGGCAATGCAAGATAAAGAAACACCACGGTCAAAATCAGGAAAAAAGATCAACCTCTCCTTCACAAGGGACACTGATACAGGTAAAATTCTGGTCAGGACAACAGACCAACCTCTCCCTCTCAAGGGACACTGATACAGGTAAAATCCTGGTCAGGACAACAGACCAACCTCTCCCTCACAAGGGAGACTGATACAGGTAAAATACTGGTCAGGACAACAGACCAACCTCTCCCTCACAAGGGACACTGATACAGGTAAGATTCTGGTCAGGAAAACAGACCAACCCCTCCTTCACAAGGGACACTGATACAGGTAAAATACTGGTCAGGACAACAGACCAACTTCTCCCTCACAAGGGACACTGATCAGGTAAGTTTCTGGTCGGGAAAACAGACCAACCTCTCCCTCACAAGGAACACTGATACAGGTAAGATTCTGGTCAGGATAACAGACCAACCTCTCCCTCACAAGGGACACTGATCAGGTAAAATTCTGGTCGGGAAAACAGACCAACCTCTCCCTCACAAGGGACACTGATACAGGTAAGATTCTGGTCAGGACAATAGACCAACCTCTCCCTCACAAGGGACACTGATCAGGTAAGATTCTGGTCGGGAAAACAGACCAACCTCTCCCTCACAAGGGACACTGATCAGGTAAAATTCTGGTCAGGACAACATACCAACCTCTCCTTCACAAGGGAGACTGATACAGGTAAGATTCTGGTCAGGACAACATACCAACCTCTCCCTCACAAGGGACACTGATACAGGTAAAATACTGGTCAGGACAACAGACCAACTTCTCCCTCACAAGGGAGACTGATACAGGTAAAATACTGGTCAGAAAACAGACCAACCTCTCCCTCACAAGGGACACTGATACAGGTAAGATTCTGGTCAGGAAAACAGACCAACCTCTCCCTCACAAGCGAGACTGATACAGGTAAAATACTGGTCAGGAAAACAGACCAACCTCTCCCTCATAAGGGACACTGAAACAGGTAAGATACTGGTCAGGAAAACAGACTAACCTCTCCCTCACAAAGGACACTGATACAGGTAAAATAATGGTCGGGAAAACAGACCAACCTCGCCCTCACAAGGGACACTGATACAGGAAAAATACTGGTCGGGAAAACAGACCAACATCTCCCTCACAAGGGACACTGCTACAGGTAAAATACTGGTCAGCAAAACAGACCAACCTCTCCCTCATAAGGGACACTGAAACAGGTAATATACTGGTCAGGAAAACAGACCAACCTCTCCCTCACAAGGGACACTGATACAGGTAAAATACTGGTCGGGAAAACAGACCAACCTCTCCCTCACAAGGGACACTGAAACAGGTAAGATACTGGTCAGGAAAACAGACCAACCTCTCCCTCACAAGGGACACTGAAACAGGTAAGATACTGGTCAGGAAAACAGACCAACCTCTCCCTCACAAGGGACACTGATACAGGTAAAATACTGGTCAGGACAACAGACCAACCTCTCCTTCACAAGGGACACTGATACAGGTAAGATTAAGGTCAGGACAACAGACCAGGCACAGAGGTAGTCACTAAAGAAGCCTAGCTGCACTCTAGTAAATGGGAGCATCCTGTGCTAATACTAGTTCTAGGCTGAAAAAGTACATAAATTGTATAATGGAATAATCTTGCAATGTTCAGTAGGTACACATTTTGTTTCCAACAAACAACCATTTGATGCTCTTTGTTTAAGTAACATGTTGATGTTAGTTTTATGTCTTTACAGGAACTAGGATTGACTTGGGAGGTGGAGGAGATGGGGCCTACCCTATGTTTAACAGTCTAGAAGGGATGGATGGGGAACAACTTGAGGACATCCAACTCCCAAACATGTCCATGGATGACATCACAGATGGAGTGCAAGACCTGTTTGACAACCAAGGGAGATCACCCAAGCTTGACCTCATCCCTGGAATTACAAGTCTGGACAGTGTACAAACTGGCAGTTTGGGTGACAAAGTACATGCCAAGCCCAGTTTTCCACGCACTGACACCACAGGAGAGGACAGTGATATCCTGATATCTCTCACCCCTCACAGACCAGTGGCAGATAACTCACTCCACCTACAGACCAGTCCCTGGCTAGCTCAGGTAAACTCACCTTCCACTAGACAGTGGTCTTTTGGTATTGATGATAATACAAGTGTGGAGGATGATATTCTGTCACTTGAAGGACAAGAAATAGAATTAGTGGATGATTTAGACGATTCCTTTGTTCCACTTAAAGGAGGGTTCCAACTAGAAGGAGGAACTCCATCAAAATCTCCAGCTGTGTCAAAGACTTCTGTGCACCCTTCATTCAGCATGCCAATCAGTGGGGGTTCACTGGACAGTGAAAATCTTACTGCCTGGCTTCAAAAACTGAAACAAACTAAAGCTAGCATTCTAGGAGATTCCTAATAGACATTATTTGTGTTTGTGTTGTAACAATATTTGACAGTGAAACTTTTCTTACCTTACACCCTGTGTGATTCAACCAGTTGTGTGGATTAGACAGAATGTTTGAATACACAGGTTTTATACAACAGTTTTTAATTAGAAATTGATATGATAGGATATCAGAATACTTTGGGGTCAGAAAAGACAATATGTTGCATTTTAGTGTTGCAGTTGCATTACGATATGAAAGCATTATTGAAATGTTTGTGTCAGTATAGATACAAATCATCAAGCATTACGTCACCAACGGGCTGACATTTTTAATCAATCAATTGTCCCTGTGCAATTGGCAACAAATGAATTCACAAATTTCCATTTTTTATTGGAAAGAGAACAATTGAGATGGCCTCTTTTGTAATGTTTGCCTTTCATTATTTCATTTACTAAAGATGTGGAATGTTTCTAAGAAAAGTTAATAAGCTTGTATTTTGGGGATGTAATGTTTGTGTACAGTAAAAGCATTTAAATACCCTGCTATACAAGACACATTGCTCAAATAATTCATCATAACGCACGTAGCCAGTAATTCAGCTGCTCCCCTGTTGTCTGTTGTCAAGGTATTATGGTTCAGGCTTGTGCTACTCTGACCCATCTCTCGTCTTCACAGTGTGGCTTGCCCCTAATTGTTTGGTTTCTCCAAGAGTTAATTAAAAATTATATTATGCTTGTACAAGTCCATATTTGTTTAGGGTAATCATGAAATACTTACGTAGATGTAACAAAATCATAATTGTAAAATTGTAGTACGTGTGTAATAACTGTCATAGCATATACTATACAAAGACAACAATCTTTTAAAAAGACTGACTCTGCTCAATTTGTTTTGTGCAATTCTAAAACTGAAACTGGCTTGTCCGATTTCAACGCAGTTAAAACAAACGGCTCAAACTGCTCAGTCGTGACTGCAGACTGGAAATAGAAAGAATTTCTCTTTTAATAGAAATACTTTGTAACTATTAGTCAGACCCCTTTAGCAAATTTTGTAACCAGCTAACATGAAACAAGAAAGACATTTGCTTTATTTGATATTACTGGCCAGTAAACTAAAAATGTATTTTCCTTTTAACATTTCAATATTTTGATTAATTTTGTTATCTGATTTATACATTAGATTGTTTTTAGCTCATCTGGCCCAAAGGGCCATGTGAGCTTATGCCGTACTGCGGCGTCCGCCAACTTTTTCTTTTAAACAACTTCTTCTGAAGAACTGGAGGACCTAGGGTCATGATATTTGGCCAGTAATGTTCAAAAATTCAAACAGCAATATCCTAAGAACCATTTGGACTAGAGTCATGATACTTAGTAATGTTATGAAGACCAGCAGTGCAAATCTTTTTTTCTTAATTACAGTAATGAGGTTTAAGGTCAACTTAAAGTGCTATTTGGGGGTCAAAAGTCAACATTGGTTAAAAGCTTTAACAATCTTCTTCTCAAGTTTCATAAGGCCCAGGGTCATGATATTTGGCCAGTAGGTACATGGGATGGAGTGCTATAAAGTTTCCTCATTAAAATGATCTTGACCTAGTTTCAAGGTCACAGGTCTCAACTATGTTAAAAACTTCAAACAACAATATCCTAAGAACCATTTGGACTAGAGTCATGACACTTGAGTATGTTATGAAGACCAGCAGTGCGAATATTTTTCTTATTCACAGTAATGAGGTTTAAGGTCAACTTAAAGTGCTAGTTGGGGGTCAAAAGTCAACATTGGTTAAAAGCTTTAACAATCTTCTTCTCAAGTTCCATAAGGCCCAGGGTCATAATATTTGGCCAGTAGGTACCAGGCATAGAGTGCTATAAAGTTTCCACTTTAAAATGACCTTGACCTACTTTCAAGGTAACAGGAGTCAAAAATGTAAAATAAAACTTCAAACAATGATATCCTAAGAAGCATTTAGTCTAGAGTCATGATACTTGGGTATGTTATTTAGAACAGCAGTGCAAATCTTTTTCTTTGTTACAGTAATGAGGTCAAATGTCAACTTTAAGTGCTAGCTGGAGTCAAAGGTCAATGTGGGTTAAAAGTTTTAAAATTACAATTTCAAATTTCAAACAACAATATCTTGAGAAGCGTTTAAGAGATGTTAAAATGTCTTGTGTTATAGTTACCAAATTTGGTCTGAAGTAACCTATATGTCAGTTTCATGTAACAAAAGAAACAGGTGAGCGATACAGGCCCTCTGGGCCTCTTGTTAAGTATGATACAATGCTATTCATGAAAAAAATGAAAACATGAAGGCACAATTCCTTGACTAAGTGTCATAAACATGGGCGTTTTGACAATAGTGATGTGACAATCTAAAATTATATGATGGAGTGACTGCATGTTAATTTCTAATGCTTCCTCTGTATAAGATACCCAGACTATCTTAGATGACACTCAAAGTATGTTTACATGTTTATACCTGTCTGGGCATGTTCATTATATGCATAGATTTTAAATGTGATATATCTGAATCATGACTTGGCCCATCCAGGCCTGATCTGTCCAGTTCCTACATTACAGTTGTTGCTTTTACAGCGAGTAAATTCTGAAATTGTCACCAGTGGAAAGACTGTCTAGTAATACTAATTTATTAAACTGTTGCACAAAGTCATAGAAAATTTACAAGTAACCGAAGTAAATGCATTCTTAATGTTGCCTGTAAACTTCTTAACCTAACCAAAGGGATCTGCTTCACATTTCTTTACTTATTTATGATTTTATTTATAATTAGAATTGATGGTCAAATGTTCCTACCTAGGACGTTTTCATTTATCATGTTCTAGATGGTTGAAACAGTATGGTTCATTAATTAATGAAATAGGAATTAACTCGGTGATCCGAAGTAGCTTTTTAACGATTTCTTGACATAGACTTTCAAGGCCTGCATTAACATTTAACATGTCTGTCAGAACTCATCTGTTTTATGTATTTTGCTTACATTTAGTTTGACCTCTGACTTAGAAATCATCGTTATGACATTTGATAACATTAACACTTTCCTTTATATGAGAGGAATCATCAAGGTCTCTTATATTTTTACATATTCAAAATTCGATTGGATACATATGACTTACTATACATGGATAAATACTTTTAACTTTTATGAGTACTTTTTCAGTTTTTGTATTCATGTTTGATCTGATCTTTGAACACCAGTACCCATAGATCTCCATTCAGAAGTGTATTTTTTCCCTGTAAGGACTTTAATAACAGACCTAGAATTGTCCATTTTTTCTATGCCCATCAAAGACAAATGTTTAAAATCGCCAGACCAAAATTTGCTTTTTTCCAGGCTCTAATTGGTAGCATTTAAATTAGCACTTCAAAGTCACGAGTCTCAACTAACTCTATCAGAAAAGCAAAAATTTGTGTGGTCCATATTTCACATTATAGTTATTTCACCACAAACTGAATACAGTGGGAAAAAACTAGATAAATCAATAAAATACAGTTAATGAATTGCTTTTTTTTTAAATTATAGACTGAAATGCATTTTAAATTATTCCTTGTTATTTTATTTACCCTCGTGTATAATTATATTGTTCATGTTAAATATTTCTTATAAGTTAATTATTACCTATAGATAAAGAAAGGAGTGATACATGTATAACATAACCAAGGTCTGCAATATCGTACAAAATGCACATCGGTTGAAATCACCAATGCCGGCAATGGAAACAATTTTAACGCTCATGAAATTATCTCAACTACAACAAGAAATTGTGTAGCTATATTAATGTATTTTCAAAAAAATAGAAAAGAATGGAAGGACGGAACATGTTTTAATCATTGTACACCAGTGCCACTATAAAGTGGTAGTTAGTCATGGAAAATCTACATAGAAATTAAATATTGAAAAATTTATTAAGTGTTGGTTCTTTATATGCCTCTACATGTAACTTTCAGTGTTACCAATGTCTATACATCACTTGTGCTGAAAATTCTGTTTACTGCAGATAATGAAACTTCACACATCTACATCACCAAAAGACAGTTAGATGTACTAGTTTCAGGTGCTGTCATCTACTATTTTCTGGTGCTTTCTTCAAAAGTCAAGATCAATATCAAAGCTCAAATGTCTACTTTCCTGTTAACTGTATTTCCTCATGAATGCAGATATACCACAGGTAACAAAGATTGTCGCTTGCTTATTACTCCACAAGAGCTAGTTTCAAAATTCATACATTCATGAAATTGGATATTTATCTGTAACCTTTCCTCTAACTCAAGTATACCACAACTGTCTTTTTGACAATGCACAAACCTATATTAATCCCATGTATCTCCAAATCATTACAACATACGTACATTTCATATTAACTTGTGAGTTTTAAGCATGTAATTTGATCAACAAAAATACAATTTTAACCCATTGAACCCCAATTCAGATGCTCACCATTTTAGCTAACTAATTCAAATATCTGGGGAGCTTACATCGTGGTGTGATGGGAATAAAGGTCGATCATCAACAGGGATTAAAATCTCATATGAATAAGGACATATCACCTTGGGTAGATTAGTGGGACCGAGATAATCTTTATTGTTCCACTGAGCGAATCTTATTGGACTTCATGTCAATCATCATATCACGATTTACCTTGAAAAAGTACATGTGTATTTTTAGCCCCCCATCATCTGATGGTGGGCTATTCAAATCACCCTGCGTCCGTGGTCCGTCCGTCGCAATAAGTACCAGAGGGATCTTTCTCAAATTTTATATGTAGGTTCCCCTTGGTCCTTATCTGTAGGGCAACATTTGAGACTGATCGGATGATCAGATAAACAACATGGACGACAGGCAGTCATCTTGGATTTTGATGGTGAAAGTTTGTTATCGCCATTTCCCGGGAAGTACCAGAGGGATCTTTCACAAATATTATATTTAGGCTTCCCTTGGTCCTTAGCTGTGCAGGGCAACTTTTAAGACTGATCGGATAAACAACATGGCCGATAGACAGCCATCTTGGATTTTGATAGTGAAAGTTTGTTATCACTATTTCTCAGGAAGTACCAGAGAGATCTTTCTCAAATTTTATATGTAGGTTACCCTTGGTCCCTAGCTGTGCAGTGTAACTTTTGAGACTGATCGGATAAACAACATGGCCGACAGGCAGCCATCTTGGATTTTGATATTGCTATTTCTCGGGAAGTACCCCTTGATCCCTTGTTGTGCATGTTATATTTTTTGAGACTGATCATAAAAACAAAAAGACTTGAGGAAGAACTAAACAGATCTTTATCATATTGCAATGATTGATTCTATTTCTTTCACATTAAGTACTGTACTAGTAAATATGTGAAATGACAAACTCACTTTGAAGGTTGGCTTTCATACACATCAGTATTAAGTTTAGATCAAAAGTTACCTAAAGGTGCATTTACTGTTAACATGACTCGATCAAACAGATTAGAGGAAAGAAGAGAAAAGATTGAACTGACAAAGAACTAATGAAGATGGTACAATGGTGGGCGCCAAAATCCCTTTGGGATCTCTTGTTCAGTCTGGTATGAAACACAAAATAGCCACTGTTGCCTCTGGCCAAAACGTTTCTAAAAAATATTCTAAAATGCTTTTACCAAAGCGTAACACTTGTACATTATCTTATTGTCTTGAAAATGATGCGATTCTTTAGGTCAATTCACATTAAAGATGGCCCCAGTGATCAAGACAATTTCACTACTCAAGTGTATTAATGTATTACTTTTATCCCTCCCTATGCAACATCATGTATACTTCTTTTAATGTTTACCAATATACAAAATTTGTGTAGAATGCATAAAAAATGTTGCAGCAAAATATTCAACTTGAGGGGAGAATTGTCTGTTATAATTATATATTTCATCTTTTTACTAAATGTTCTAAATCAAAAAGGTAACAGGTAGGTAAGGCCGTGTCCTTTATGAAAATTGTCATCTTTGTGGGGAAAAAAGAAACAATCTTTTAAAATTTTGTTAAATTTTATTATAAAACAAATGAAAATATGCTGCAAATATTTTAATTTTTCTTCGTCTTGGGCTGATCGTACCGACTTTTACTTCTGTAAAAGAGGAGGAATGGAATGACTAGAGAAGGGAGCGTCATCACGGCAAATACGCACCAGTCCAGCTGAAACATAAAACAATTTTGGTTAATAATTCTGCAGCATGTAGTACAACTATCAATTAGCTCAGAACCTACACATCTCCTAAACTCAACAGGTGCTTTTTGAATGGACCTTTCTACATTTACCCATACATTTTACAAAATCTCTGCCTCTGAAGACATGCACATTGCATATTCATAAATGTTGCTAAGGCATGAGTCTTGAATACTAAAGTCCAAACTGGGATTTGAAGCTAGGGTTCAACACATTCTAAACATATGCTTAATCCACTAGGCTCTCAGGTAATTAGTGTTTGACCAAGTACAAATTCACTACACCAAATTCACTACACCAGTAATGTAAATCATTACAATTAATCAAGAGTATGATATTTTTAGATGTTAGCACAAATATTGACTTATATAGAATGCATATATTCATACAACGAAACTTACAACATGAGGAGAGAAGCGTCTGTCATATTCTTTGCTGTTAACAATACCACCCTCTCCAGGTGCACTGGTATATCCGGACTGTAAATAAAATGGATTTCAAAAATTTAGCTCATCATGATTTTTTCAACATCACTTCATGGTTTAAAGTATAAAACTGGTTAAAAATGATTCCTACTAACATTCTATATACAATGTATCGGTGTGAATTTAATTATTTCTTAATACATGTACCTATATATTTACAAATACAATGTACCAGATAGAATTTTCCTTTCCTGTCTCTACCAATTCTATGTTAACATATCTTTCATTGTGAATTGTTTGCAAAGGAAGCACTGCTTCACCTTTTTTACTGGTATCATGTATCAGAATACCTACCACAGACTCGGTGGCATCCTCCGAGTCCTTGTAGCTGACCTCCCCAGAGGTGAAGTTGAAATAGCCGTACTGAAGAGGCCTAAGGATGACAGAGTGTGTCACATTGGTGCCACTAGGCTCCAGTTAAGGAAAAATTACTGTTTTAAAATTTTCAGTTCAAGTGATGCTATAAGCCAGGTAGAGGAATGTCTAAAATAACATTATGAACTCCTATTGGGTGCAATTTTGGACAAATATGTACAATCCCAGCAATATGTCATTTCCAAGCTGTACGTTTCCAGGACAAAGAAAGGAGTCCATGTGATTTGGCAGTCACATGGTACATTAGAGAGGCATGAATATACCTGATGCAAAGGTAAATCAGAAGCAAGCCAAAATTATTGAATTGAAAGATGGATGAATAAGGATAGATATAGCTAAAATTTCCGTCATTAACAAAAGGGATATCTGTACGCTCTATTTAAATGTTAGATTAGGATCTACACACCGCTGTTTTAGCAAATTATTGCGTTAGCTGTTATAAGCTAAAAAAAAATTCTCAAATATTATGGGCCTTTCCAATTTTGAGCATAATGAATTATAGATAATCCATACCAAAGAGAGGTGTAGAAAAAGGGAAAGAAACAGTAGATGACATCTGAATAGTAACCTCAAACAATTACATTATTAATTCTTGGAACATCCTATAATCTTTTCAGGGCTTTCAATAACCAGAGACCCATGTTCAGATATGCGAAACATTAAAATTAAACTTTATATATTTTTAACTATTTCCATTTATACATATTCAATAAAATTTCAAAAAATGTTAAAGGATACGGAGCAATTCTCTCCCAGCGAACATTGAGGTTTCCTCGGACAACCTCAAAATCAGTCTCGGGGAACCCTTCATCCTTCAGGTTGACATCCAAGGCAGCACTGAAAAAATTACATAGGTTATATATAAGACAACGGCCTCAGGATATATTTGATTGTACTTTTTCTGTGTTCAAAAAGTAAACCAGGGTTAATAAAATCCCCTATGGCAAACTACCAATGTTATATTACATTGTTCACAAATTTGCCCAAGGAAATTGTATGTTATGGATAATTTTGTCACAGGAAAAATATGGATCATCATATTGGAAATTTTGACTTGCCAGTGACTAGTAAGCTGATATATGTTTAATAAAAAGTAGAGGAATGTAAGACACACGTATGATTGTACCTATTACATTTGTAATCCTTGTAATACAGGGCTTCAACACGATCTCATTCTTCATATCTAATAAAATATATTTAAAGGATTTGAATCAAGTATCCTCTAACTTGGCAGTTCTTCTTTGAGATGTTAATGAACTTCAAACAGGTTCGGCACAACAACACATATGGGTAAATTGTAATAATCCTTGGACCTGCATTTGGGTAACAGTTATTGTTTTGAGTAACAAATTTATTACTGAAATGAGGAATAAAACGAAATGAATACACACAAAGTTCATTTCAATACTCGAGTAAAAAAGGGCATTGTTCTTTCAACAAAATCCAATAGATAACACAATGAATTACAATTACAATGTTTAAGTTTTTGTTAAAATGACAAATCAGATCACTGATTTTGTTCTCAAGTGTGTAGTCAATGGGATCATCAAGTGCAAATTAAATGAGGCAGGTGAGCATGAATTTTTTCTGTGAGCTTGGCAACGGAGGCGATACAGTTAAATCTTTTTTCACAAAAACTTAGACAACTGAATTTACATATTTTTGTGAAAAATTATATGCATTACCTTGTTGTATTATTCATTGGATTATGTTGAAACCTTTTTTGTTCATAATGTTTAAAAGAACTATGTTTTTTAATTTCACTTTATTCTTCATTCAAAATGTTACTGTAAACAGTAACTGTAGTTGGTTAGGGCACGCTAGGATATTTTAAAACGAACTGGTAACAGTGTTCGGGGAACATCTTTTCCTTTACAGCCGTTTCGGCTGTATACTTATGCAGCATTATTTCCCATATGCGCTGTTGTGCCTAACCTGTTTAAGTTTATTTCCTCAATGTTCTTTGACAAAAACTAATTTTATCATTACACTTTTTAATCAAAATATGTAGAAATCTCCTTTTCTGCAATGTATATTTGCTTACCTTCCACCAGTATTATAAATGCTGTATTGTACTGTGAGATCCCTGCCTTCAACCAAATACTGATTCAATATGTTCTTAGATGCCAACAGTCTCGCATTGTCACCATTACAACTCAAGACCATACACAAAGCAGCAAGCGCTGCCAACCAAATCTTCATCTGAAACACGAGAGAAAAACGTATTTATTTTGTTTGAAAATAGTTCAGTTTTGTCATTAAATGTTACAGCATTATAACCTATCTAACTTTGCAAGTAAAACATATTCGTTCAACTTCAAAATTCATTCATGAATGCGGCCCTATATGTCCATTGGTGTAAAGCATGTTCAGCATACTGCAACATAATTTTTCAAGTTGATTATGTGTTTTCTTTTCAATACTCAATATGCTTCATACATTTACACCAAGTGAAAGTTTTACGCCATTTGCCTACCCGGATTTTGTCTATAATTCCAAATGTTTGGTCCATGGACATGATACAAGTCCATAGGTTTAGCCACGTATGCAAACCTGTTGAATGCTATTGATATTCTCAATAAAGTGTATATTACGAATTTTACGGGATCAAAGACAGAATTCTTTTTGATAAATGATGTCATAAAGTAACTCTACTCGAGTAATGATAATATTAAACAAGCTAATCGATAAGGAATGGACAAGAAATTGTCTACAAAACGTACCTTGCTAGCCGGCATCAACCCAATACGGAAAAGGAAGCTCGAAGTCCGATTCGGCGCAGTTGTTCTGAAACGTGTCGCGGAAAATTAATCTTACGCATTTTATTCTTTGAAAAGAGCGAAACGCACTTAATTAAAAATGGTCGGTCAAACTGTGCTATATGTAAAACAATCACTACTAAATTGATTTTAAAAACAGATTAAATTATTCCATTATTTCATTTTACAACCGTTAGAAATTCAAAGGTGTTTTTTTTCAATTTTATAATGCGAGATGCATGCAAAGCACATCCAAGAAATAAAATGGACCGAACTGCAAATAGTTACAAATAAACAATGAAATGCTATTGCTCGAACTTATCTAATTGCAGAAAGCCTAACCGTTATATGTTCCATTATTGAATGGTTTCCTATTGATGACAGGCATAAAGACTTTTGTATTTTTGTGACATTAAGCAGACCCTACTTATACAAGAGACAGAAATGATAATAGAAGTAATCATAACTACAGACGACAGAAAGTTAAAATTACCGTAACTAAAATTTGCGAAATAGAACAGGGTTCAATAACTGAACGTCCCCACTATTTGCCCTCACTTTACTGTCGAGGATCCAATATCAGTTGTGTGTTTGTCCAAAAACTAAAACAAACTACTCCCTCGCTATTTTCCGGAGTTGCACACTAACTCCCTCGGCAATGTCCGTAGTTGATGGCAATAACCAGGTGACAGGTGGACGGCATTTCTAGAGATCTTAAATATCCGAAAGGGAGCAATATACTATCTTCGAAAATTCTTATCAATTTGATTAACATTTAAAATAATACAATGGAATAAAAATATCATTAAGAAACAATATTTTGTGTTGAAAGTAGAGTACGTGACACAAGCTACCCAGAATCATTCAATACACGCTACACCTCAACCGTATACAGACAGGTGGATAGCTGTCTCGTTGGAGTTATTTTGAAAAGAATCACGCACACAAACAAATAATTCTGCCCATCACTCTCCGTCTGTGTTTAAATAGTGTTCCAATCATACGAAAGATTTTCAGAATATGAAAGGTAAGAGAGGCTAGTATGTTACTACTGAGTAAATGAAAGTTCACAATCGCAAAATTAAAATCATCCCGTTAATTAGTTTGGTAGCAGGTGGCCATAATTGTCGTAAGATTGGTAAACGATAAGATATGTAGCTCAGCTGAAGCAGAGAAGTCAGTGATATCCTATATGGCATGTATAGTAAATAGTCATCAAACTTCATATTGCATGTACCGTAAATCACTTATATTTCGCGTATACTTTATTTCAGGAGCTGGCACCTCATACTTTATTCGCGAATTAAATTAAAATTTGCGAATGATTCCAAAACCATACACTACATGTATATGCTACAGTGATCTAATTATTCCAAAAGTACACTTTTTTCACGACGGAGTCCTGATTAACGCTAAAATATAAACCTCGCGAAATATAAATGAATTACAGTACATAGTAATCAAAGTTCTTGTTATTCAGAGGCAATACATCATCAATATAGCTTGGCATCATCTAACCGTCACGGCCGTATACACTCACCAATGTACCTGTATGGTAGCGCGGTGCAAAGTCTACTGCATAACATGCACGTGCAGGTAGTGTATTGTTCGTGTAGATTGGCCCATACTCCACAATGCCAACCAAAAGTACTTCTGACGTCCTTAATATCCCAAAATATTCCAAATATAATAAATGTATTTTTGACATGTTAAACTAAATGATCAGAGTTTTCAAATAATGTATGCATCCTTCGGATAAACGTATGCGTAAACGAATACGTAAACGAATACGTATACGTTTGAGACTTATGGTCCCTGCAGGAAGGGCGTAAGAATTGTACCTGCTGACTCCATTGCATGATCGTAAGAGGCGACTAAACTTGGGATCTTATCGTTTCTCTCCTTTCTTAACAACTTTCTTCTTCCTTATGTCTCCCTTGACAATGCCGCACTTTTGGCCTTTAGTTGAGCGTTTGCCCCTGTGACGAAGGCTTTGGGTTCTGTCTCCTGGCCCAGACATACCAGAGTCTGTAAAAATGATAATTTCTACTCCTGCTTAACGCTCGGTAATTTAGGAGTGGGACGACTGTTTCGCCCGTTGTTAGTGCTGGGTCCTTCGGCAGTATGTTTCAGTGAGGTAGCACTATAAAGTTGGCATCAGCACCGTGCTTTCACAAGGAGACAAACACAAACATATCGCAGCCTCCCAAAACACACACGCATCACTATACGCACGCATCTTGCTCACAGGGGAGGCCGTCCTTGAATGAACAATACTAAACCAAACTAAACCAAACTATTTTTTTAAGATCTCTTTTAATGGCCAGACTACGATCAGTTGTTATCGTTCTTGAGTAGATATCGCGGCTGGAATGGTGCATTTTAAATTGTCTGGTCCCTGTGTTTTGTATGGGTTTAATAAACAGTGAAAATAAGGATTTCGGGATAAAACACGATAAAAACGGAGGGAAAAAAGCATGTCCGTTTGGGAGTGCATTCCTTTAACTTTATTCAGAAAGAGTCAAGTTAAAGTATATGTAACAGATTTCCTGCACTTCATTAACAATGATGTGAGTTTCAGGGGATACATCTTGCTAAAAAGGAACCATAGCTATGTCGGCACATATAAAAACATCGATAAAGGAATTGACAATCAAGTTCACTATTGACACAGATCGACTCTTGATGTGTGCTACTACTAGTTCGTAACTACACGCGCACGAGAGCGTGCAACTTGCCATACATTCGACATGCCTGAGCGACTCTGCCTCACTGACTGAGGTGACGAAGTCGCACTGACACCGGCGGAGAAGACCTGTATTGATAACGTCCATATTTACATGTATGTATGCTGTCTTTTTTCTTCAGTTTACTGTAAAAGAGAGGCTGAAGCAAGACTTCTGTTCGAATATTTAGAAGTAGTTGCCTCCCTTAGAACATCGAACTTGTTCACTAGCTTGTGTAGTGTTAAGTTATCAATAGAGTACAACAGAAGGAATAAAATCCCTAGTAAGGATTTTTAACCTTAACGAAATTCGACTGAGATGAATGTCATTTTTTGTTTACTTGTAACGACCGTCAAATTTTACTTAATAGGAGGAATTCTTTATGCAGGTGATACTATATTTTAAGACCTAGTACATTCAAGATCAATATTCTATTCAATTATGTAATTAATAATGAATGAGCTTCTCTACATAAATCTATCAAGGAAATGATTGACCGCATCAACTCGATTAATTAGTACCCTTGCATATTTAGAAATGTTTAAATTAAAATTTTCTACACTGGACCAGTTTATGAGAATAAAGTCTTTGTCAATGTCGTGTCATTACACCCCACCCATTTTCCAAACACACCCCACTAGCTACAAAAATAAACATATTTAAAAACGTATAGCATTTCAGTTTTTACAGAAAACCATGGGTATTAACCATGCTGACGTCATCAGTTTCGGGGTGTTGGTGGTCCTGTCCGGCTGTGGAGGTGTGTACACCCAGTCACCCAGGGACGTGAGGGGAAAAAAAGAAAATAAACTCATAATAAATAACCATGAAAATAAACATGATATTACGTTCGCACTTCGCACAAGAAAATGACCTATGATTACGTCATAAAATGATAAAGAAATAAGTCAGACACGGAATTGGATTAGATTTAAGTCTGTGCTCCAGGTTATATTATGACGTCACGATGGCGAAAATCGAAAGACACCAAACACTGCAGATCTTCCTTTTTCTTCCAAATTTCCTAAAAGAGTTATTGTGAATACGATATAACATTTGAAATTATTTCAACTCCAGAGTTCGCTTTCACTTTCGTTTTAAAATCTCGTGTGATATGGAAAATGTAGAAAATGACATGAAAATTAGGGTAATATAATTGTCAGAAGGATACAGTACCCATATTGACGCCATTGATCACTGATCGTTTGTCGGTGTCTATATTTGTATATTTTGTGCCATATGTCCATAGTCTTGGTTATAAACATGCGATACATGATATTGTCAACGGAGCTCGTCATTGAGGTGTACATCCTCAATATCCAGGGGTTACGCTCACTTTCGCTCTCTACAGAAGCGTAACCCCTGGATATCGAGGATGTATTTGGAAGTATAATAGAATAGACTAACATCATGAATGCTTTCTTAATTTGTTAATTTTTGGTGAAATATCTTTTTTTCAGTTACACTGGGTCAGAACATTAGTAAGTATTGAAATATCCCACCACAATTGATGTGTTTATTAACACATTATCTTAAGTTTGAACAGTCAACTAAATAACCGAACACGAACAATTATAACATCCATTTATCCACAGTGTGTCAGTTTACATTTGTACTACCTGCTATCATAATACTATCAATTTACATACTATAATGTACTATCATTTTACTGTTAACTATCAGTGATAATCTGCTATAATTAATATCATTTTCATACCATATCAATACTTGATAAAACATATGTTAAAGTCATTGATTGTTATATTACGAGTTTAAATTCATAACCTGTTTCTAAGGAGCAGTATTTAATTGTAATGATGCTTTCACAACGTTCATAAGTCATGGTTCTGTATCTAGCGTATGTGGGATTTAACATAACGACGGCCATCCCCAACTCACTGAGCGGACAGAAGACCGTGCTCCTGTCCGGAGTTGACCTCCCAAGCGGCTGGTTGATCGGATTTCTGGTAACCACGGACGCCAACTGTGCTTTCTTTCTGCAGCTATGGACACGTGTCAGCCCACAGAACCACACCCTCATCTTCACCACCGCCAGACAGTCATTCCTCACAGACGGGCAACAACAGGTAGACTTTCCCTGGGTATCATTACAATATAGAGGGGTTTATGATGACGAGTAACCCAGGGTTAGAGAGAGGGGTAGGCTCAGACACTCCCATCCTCGAAATCCCCGCAGTTACGCTCACTATCAATTACATTTTGCTGAAGTGAGTATAACTTAGAAATTTCAAGAATGAGGAAATCCCTGTCACCAGCCTATCATGATGATCTTTCTAAATTAGAATACCGATTTTCTGGAGAAGAAAATAGTTCTCCTTTTTATTTTTAATTCAGTCTGTGACACTGGTATTTAGAATCGGTTAAAACTTATTAAGAAAAATCTTCGTAATCACGAATATTTGTCTTGATACAATCTAAACTTAGCACATTTTCTTTAGTTACATCGTATTTAACGTCTTGTTGCATCAAAGTGATTCAGGGATTTTGCACGATTAGCTCTCTCTACCTGACTAAGGCTTAAAACTATAACTCAATTGTCGCTATATAGGTAGATCTGGGACTCGGAAACGCCATCAATCTGACAGGGTCAGAGATCATGGGGTTCACGGCCACAAACCTCCAGGAGTGCGTGTCCTTCAACTTTGTCACCAACCCGCTGTCCTCCACAATGACCTACCTGTTTAGTCAGTCTCCAACGGTGGGCAACACCTATGAGTTTGTACCGTACCAGGACACCAACCACTACGGGATCGTGGCGATCATACAGGGTAGGGCCCCCCTCAAAGTGATGTACAAGATTTGATCTAAAAACCTTAATCGTCGACTTTATAGCTCTATACGGATAGGTTCAAACATTCTATTTGTAATAAATTCTCAGATCCCTGTTGTTTTTGGGAAGCAATTCAAACCTTATTAAGGGAAAGTCATAAGTGATATTTTTCAAATTTGTAATATGCATGAATATATACACAATAATGTATTTATACACAATACCACGTCACACATAATACTCAATTAATGGTGACGTACACATGCGCTTCTGCAATACGCACGCTCATGGTTATTCGTCAGCGCAAAAGTTTTTGTGAATTTTCTTAAAAAATGAAGAAAATTTGAATATTTGTTGTTTCGTTTTTTGATAGATGCACAGCCGTCCACCATTGGTAAGTATTTCTATCGATATCACTAACGTATTAATACCTGCATACAATATGTATAACCATGAAGGAATTTCCTGCATTATTATTGGATGATGGAGTTCGGAGACGTATTTTCTCTACTACCATCTCTGTTCTAGCTTACTTCCAGTTTAGCTCGTACTGTTGCCCTACCTGCTATTATTTCTGTTCTAGCTTACTTCCAGTTTAGCTCGTACTGTTGCCCTACCTGCTATTATTTCTGTTCTAGCTTACTTCCAGTTTAGCTCGTACTGTTGCCCTACCTGCTATTATTTCTGTTCTAGCTTACTTCCAGTTTAGCTCGTACTGTTGCCCTACCTGCTATTATTTCTGTTCTAGCTTACTTCCAGTTTAGCTCGTACTGTTGCCCTACCTGCTATTATTTCTGTTCTAGCTTACTTCCAGTTTAGCTCGTACTGTTGCCCTACCTGCTATTATTTCTGTTCTGGTGTTCTTCGGATTGAAACTTCACTGTCGTCTGTTTCAGCCTACTTCCGGTTTAACTTCACTGTCCTCTGTTTCAGCCTACGTCCGGTTTAACTTTAATGTCGTCTGTTTCAGGCTACTTCCGGTTTAACGTCACTGTCGTCTGTTCCAGCCTACTTCCGGTTTTACTTCACTGTCGTCTGCTTCAGCCTACTTCCGGGTTAACTTTACTGTGGTGTCATTTAGCCCACTTCCGGTTTAACTTTACTATCGTCTGTTTCAGCCTTCTTCGGGTTTAACTTCACTGTCCTCTGTTTCAGCCTACCTCCGGATTAACTTTACTATCGTCTGTTTCAGCCTCCCTCCGGTTTAACTTTACTTTCGGCTGTTTCAGCCTACTTACGGTTTAACTTCACTGTCCTCTGTTTCAGCCTACTTCCGGTCTAACTTTTCTGTCGTCTGTTTCAGCCTACTTCCGGTTTAACTTTACTATCGTCTGTTTCAGCCTACCTCCGGTTTAACTTTACTGTCGTCTGTTTCAGCCTACTTCCGGTTTAACTTTACTGTGGTGTCATCTAGCCCACTTCCGGTTTAATAGGATTGTAATAGCATATTAGTGGATGCAGGCTTTCAACAATTACTTAATCTGATATACATAGTGATAAACATAAAAATAAGCCTACATTTATAAGACGCTGTATGATCGTCCTTCAACTTAAGATCATTCCAGGATTAATTTCATTGTTGCCAGTCTAACCAACCTCGGGCTGAATTTTACTGTCGTCTGTTTTAGTGTACTTTGGGTTTAACTTTATTGTTGCCTTGTCTAGTGAGCTTCCGGTATAATTATACTATCGTCATATTAACCGTACTTCAGGTTTAACTATGCTTTCACATTTTCTAGTGTACTTCTGGTTTAACTTCATTGTCGTTTGTTCTAGCTTACTTCGGATTTAACACGACCGGAGGTGATGTGCTGCTGCCAACCGGAGGTCTGATCGGAATCATGTTACGTGATGTAGCTCCCCTGATGTTTGGACGCCTCGTTGCTTTCTACGTGAACATATTAGGAAATGACTGCCAGGTCTACTTCCAACTTTGGAAAGTTGTTGACGCATCAACTATGAAGTATAGAATGAAGTACACTACAGAGATACAGAATTTTACAGCGACCGGGTACTACAAGGTAAACAGAATTCCACCTAGAATGTTTTTGAAACCGTTAGTCTGTTGATTTGAAACAAATGTAATTATTTTGATACACTTCCAAATGAACTTGCTTTTCAGTTTCCACCTCTTCATAAGCAGCAGCATAGTTGATAAAGTGAGTCAGATTCAGATGATTTTATTCCTTGCGTACCATGCAGCTATCGCAACACTTAACGACTGGAGCCAGTTTGCGTTGTTTTAATTTAACTCTATACTCTATACTACGGCTTGCGACCAATCATTTTTCGAATTTGAAAATAGAAGGGAGCTTAGAATTTTCTAATTGATTTCTGACTGGAATATAACGAAAATATAACTTTCGTGAAATGCAACCGCTATATAGCGTACAAGAAAATAATGACATAACCCCTATAACAGCGATATAGCGCACAAGTAAATGATGACCTCACTGTTATAACAGCGATATAGCGCACAAGTAAATAATGACGTCACTGTTATAACAGCTATAGCACACAAGCAAACGATGACATCGCCATTAAAACAGCTTCAGTGCACAAACAAAGGAGGCACGGTAGTGGTAGGATGGCGGGCTCGTGACTGAAGGGTTGCGGGTTCGCGCCACGGCACGGCAATGTGTTGTATCTTTGAGCAAGATACTTTACTTCGCTTGTTCCAGTCTACTCAGCTGTAAATGAGTACGTGGCAGTGTTAGAATTGTTGAGTGCTAGCTGTTAGCGTCGAAATGGCAGCTCCGGCTGTATGCTCCCCAGGGAGAAATGTATCAGCTGGTTGCAAAGGCCCTATAACCACGGATAATAATTTGTGAACCGCTTTGAGACTACCTACAAACTAGGTTGTGATAAAGCGGTATATAAGAACCTCCAATTATTAGGGCTTTTCACCAACTGGTGAAAAGACCTATTGTTTTTATTATGGTTCTTATTATTCTTTTTCTTCTGCCATTTTTGTGGGTTCGTAATCTCCTGAACGGTAGCAGATATTATCACAGTCTATATTGTATAGGACATGGAATGAAGGTGTTATTGCAACATTTTCAAGTGGGTCAAAAATCCAATATGGCCGCCATGACGTCATACCTCAAAATCTTAAAATGGCCATAACTCAAAAACAGTTGAATTTACAGAATTGACGCAATCAAATTATATGTAGATAATCTTCAGGGCTAACCTTTATTACCTCAAGTTATTTTTAAAAAAAAGGTCAAATAAAAAAGCTCGCTGTTGGGTCAAAGGTCACCATTTTTATTAAACATTCATTATTCATTTTTTTTTTAAGTTCTTCTACAGATGTAGATTGCCATTCCAATGAATTTGATGTCTTCAGTTTTTCTGTAACATATACCGTTAACGTCCCATGGCGTGTTCATTATTGCCTTTTGATCTTTTTTGAAAAGCCGACAATATTTTTACAAACTTCATCGATCTTCTTCTCCAATTCTGCCATTGCAATATTAACCACAATTAGTACATGTATTCCTCTGGGGGCCCTTACGAACTAATGTTACTTTTTGGAGCAATTAATATTCTAAGATGGCCACCATGACGTCATAGGTTAAAATCTTTGAAACCGCTATAACTCGAAAACCGTTGATTGTACAGAATTTATGAAAATGTACTATTTGTAGATAATTTCCATATCTAACTTTTTTTGATAACATGTTTATACAAAATATTTCAAATAAGAAAGTTCGCCCTTGGGTCAAAGTTCACCAAAAAATTTAAACGCTCATTTTTCATATTTTTTTTAAAATTCTTCTACTTTTGGAAGGAAAATGCCATTCCGATGAATTTGATGTCTTTAGTTTTTCTATAATATTTACGGTTGACGTCCTATGGCGTGTTCATTATTGCCTTTTGATCTTTTTTGAAAAACCGATACTATTTTTACAAACTTCAACAATCTTCTTTTCCAATTCTGCCATTGAAATATTAACCACAATTGGTACATGTATTCCTCTAGGAGCCCTTACGAACTTAAGTTACTTTTTGGAGCAATTCATATTCCAAGATGGCCGCCACGAACTCTGATTGGTTAACAGCCTATACCAATATATTTCGTTAACGATATCAAACACGAGGTTGATCTTTGGATATCATATAGAGAAAAGCAAGAGCAAACTTTTTCTTTCTTACTATTTTAACAAAAAATGTCAACTTCAGGTTTTTGTTAGGGGTCAAAGTTTGAATGTGTAATTTTGTGAAACAAACTTCAAAAAAGTTTTTCTCAATAACCAAGTGACCCAAGGTCATAATATTTATTGAATGTTCATGCTTAAGCACTGGACTATCAAGTTTGATAATATGAATGACCTTGACCCATGTTCAAGGTCACTGGGGTTAATTATATTAAAATCTTCAAAAGATTCCTCCTCAATTCCGAAAATATCAAGGGTATTGATTTTTGGTCTATAGTATGCTGGTATGATGGGCTACCAAGTGTATGCACAAGATTGACCTTAAAATATCAACTTCCGGTTTACGGTAGGGGTTAAAGTTTGAATGTTCAATTTTGTGAAAGAAACTTCAAAAAACTTCTGGTGGAAGGGAAGTAACTTGAAGAATATTATTACAGATCCATGCAGAATGTCATTCTGATGAATTTGATGTCTTTAGTTTTTCTGTAACATTTACCGTTAACATCCTATGGCATGTTCATTATTGTCTTTGATTTTTTTTTTAAATCTGACAATATTTTTACAAACTTCAATGATCTTCTTATCCCATTCTGCCATTGCAATATTAACCACAATTGGTACATGTATTTCTCTAGGGGCCCTTACGAACTTATATTACTTTTTGGAGCAATTAATATTCCAAGACGGCCGCCACAAACTCTGATTGGTTAACAGCCTATACCAATATATTTATTTAACGATATCAAACAGGAGGTTGATCTTTGAATATCATATAGAGATAAGCAAAGTTAAAATGCACTATATTGGGTACCAACCTTAAAAAATCTTCCTCTTAAGTTCCACAAGGTGAAGAGTCTTGATATTAAATATTAAAGATTCTGAGATGTCGTGGTATCAGGTTTGAAAAAATGGTTGACATTGATCAAGGTCACAATCAAGGTCACAAACTTCATATGTGCTATTTCAAGATAATTACTTCAAAACACTTCTTCTAAAGTTCTACAAGGTCTAGAGTCCTACTATTTGATACATTAAAATGGTTAGATGATTGACTATCAAGTTTGAAAAAATGATTGACCTTGAAAGACTTTCAAGGTCACAGAGGTCATATGTATAAAAATATTGAAACCACTTTTTCTGAATAACCAATAACTCCAGGGTAACAAGGTTTGGCAAAGAAGCATGGTTGAATGAAGGGCTTTAAAGTGTGTGCAAATGATTGACCTTGACCTACTCCAAATATAATTTCAAAGGTGAAAGTCAAAAACCGTTTTCATTTTTGTGCGATTGTCAAGTGCTTTCAGTACTCTCAGTACTTTGATTTTTATCAAGACATCTAATACACGCTGGTAATACTACATCGATTACTACGCACTCCCAATCTTAAAAGTAGGGACAGTTTACATCTCCACTGCGATGGGTAAACTTCAGGCTTTCTTTGGCGTGGCAAACCAAACCGATATAGACAAAAAGCTATTTCAATTCATCATCCTGAGGTACATAGTGGGCGGACTATATGCCTTTTACGGACTACCTTTGTATACAACTAAGCCCATTGACTTCCTATGTCTATATGTTCTTTCTATGACGTCATTTCGCACTCGGGGAATCCCCCACTACTCGGCCAGCTACTGTAGACTTGCACAGTTTATTATTAGAAGGCCAAATCAGTACTTACAGTGAACAGCCCGTCAAATTGTTAGCCAACAATTTCTAGTTATTATTATTTTTATAAAGGATGAAGTCACCGTTATGACAGCTATGACGCAGAAGGAAACGATGACGTCACAATTATAACACTGTAGCTCACAAGCAAACGACACCATTATAGCGTTGTAGCGTGCAAGCAAACGACACCATTATAGCGTTGTAGCGTGCAAGCAAATATGACATGATTATGATATCGTCAACACCATAACCGCTATAGTGCACCTTCAAATCAGCATACCACCAATATCAACCATCCAGCTGTTTGAAAAAAAGAAAAAAACTTGTTTTACTGAAAAATCAACATTTATAATCACATAAAAAACACTCCAGTGCCATTAAGTGTGACTACAGTAAGATACATTAAGAGGAAGCTCGTTCTATCCTTTCAATTCTTCCTTGGCGACACTGATTTTGCCTTCAATTTCGTACTACAAAGTTGATATATTGCGCGTCAGTACAGTTTGTCGTTATGAGTATTTGATTTGTAGGACAGATACATGTACTTAGGTATTTTGGTGTTATTTTGTATATCTAGATATACGGACGTCAAGATTGAATAGTTTCTGGTTGTTGTTTTGTATATCTAGATAGGTATCGTGGACGTCAAGAATGAATAGTTTCTGGTTGTTGTTTTGTATATCTAGATAGGTATCGCGGACGTCAAGGTTGAATAGATTGTTGTTGTTGTTGTTTTGTTTGTTTGTCTAGGTAGATGTCTCGAACTACTTGGTGGCGGCCACCAATGACCGTATCGTATTTGTAGACGTGTCTCCGACGCCGTGTGTGGAATTTGAGTACACAAGCAACACCACGAGGTTTTCTTCATCCAGTTCCTTCGTCTTCCTATCCAGAATAGCTAGCGAGGGAACGGAGGTTGTGTTCAGACTTTTCCAACGCACACACAGATTCTCTGTTATGGTGGAAATTGATGGTTAGTTGTTCTGTTTATATCTTACGCCACGTTGATCCCATAGCGTCATTCCTAGATCATGTGCTCCTTGTGGGGTCATTCCTAGATCATGTGCTCCTTGTGGGGTCATTTCTAGATCATGTGCTCCATGTGGGGTCATTCCTAGATCATGTGCTCCTTGTGGGGTCATTTCTAGATCATGTGCTCCTTGTGGGGTCATTCCTAGATCATGTGCTCCTTGTGGGGTCATTCCTAGATCATGTGCTCCTTGTGGGGTCATTCCTAGATCATGTGCTCCTTGTGGGGTCATTCCTGGAACATGTGTTCCTTGTGGGGTCATTCCTAGATCATGTGCTCCTTGTGGGGTCATTCCTAGATCATGCGCTCCTTGTGGGGTCATTCCTAGATCATGTGCTCTTTGTGGGGTCATTCCTGGAACATGTGTTCCTTGTGGGGTCATTCCTAGATCATGTCCTCCTTGTGGGGTCATTCCTGGAACATGTGCTCCCTGTAGGGTCATTACCGGAACATGTGTTCCTTGTAGGGTCATTACTGGATCATGTGTTCTTTATATATTTAATGTCATTACTGTAGTTTTATGTACCTTGTGACGTCATTACTGCATCCCGTGTTCCTTGTACATGTAAGGTCTTTACTGTACTCCATTATTTTGATCATAATTATTTCCATTGATAACGTCATTGCTAAATTGTCTGAGTGTTTTCCCATTTTTTACAGTGTTTCTCATTTAATCCAAATTCCTTATCACCCCATTGTTCAAACTCCACTATCGCCCCTGTGGGGGTTCCCCTTTACTACCTCATTCATTTTGGTGACGTCATTATAGAATTATTTATCTATCAAAATACTTTGAAAATTTAATCCAGAAGGACAGTATAAAAACAATTTTAGACTGTGTTCACATTTTCACATCGTACAACTGCGTTGTTAACAGGGGTTTTACCTCCATCCGCAACTGGGGTGACAGGGGACAGGGGATCCCAGGGGAACACAGGCCCCGAGGGAGTTACCGGACTGCTCGGACAAACAGGTGTGGCCGGAAATTTTGGCTCAATCGGAAATACTGGACCACTAGTAAGTTGTAGCACAAACCTGGTTATCCTCCTGAGATCAATCACATCTAATTCATTTAAGGAATCATACACTTATCAGTTGGATAAGTCAGACGCTAGATAGTGTTTAGTATTGTAGCATAACTTTATTAAGTCTGATGATTATAACCGACACGTTTAATAGTAAAATTGTAAAATTTCTCAGGGAACTGTCGGAGTGCAAGGAGTGACAGGTGCTGCAGGACCAGTGGGCTCAACTGGACCAGCTGGCTTCAAAGGCAACATCGGGCCCCAGGGACCTGTTGGAATAAACGGGGAAAGGGGCGTCACAGGCATAGTTGGGCCCCAGGAAGCTCAGGGACCTACCGGTGTACAGGGGTCGCTAGGAACCCACGGCAGTCCGGGAGGGGTGGGTGACAGGGGAGAACAGGGGGCCGTTGGCAGTACAGGATTGGACGGACTTCCAGGAAGCAATGGTGTGGTAGGCCTAACAGGTCTGACAGGACAGAAGGGACCACTTGGGGATGAAGGTGAAAGGGGATCACTAGGAACTGTAGGTCAAAATGGTGTTGTAGGATCTACAGGAATACAAGGGCCCGCATGGGACCCGTTTGGTAAGCAGCTGGGAGGACTTGAGATGAAATGTACAGCTATATATACAATAGCAACTGGCTGGAATGCACGTACAATTGAAGTTTTTTTTATTGTACCCATTCTTGTTGTGGTCAGTATGATCAGAGAGCCGTACATGGTAGCAATTACTACCAGAGTTTTCGCCAATAATTAAAGAGAGTGGTCCATGTACAAAACAATGCTATATTCATTTTTGTGTCGCCTGCGAAAAGCTGGTGACGCATAGGTATTGCTTTGGTGCGTCGGTGTCGGCAGCGTCGTCCGCACAGAGGTTTTCGTAACTTGAGTTTCCTTGGGCCGATCAAACTCAAACTTCATGCAGTGCTTCCTTACCGAAAGTGATTGCTTGGGATTGCTTTTCAGGTCCGAAGGTCAAAGGTCAAGGTCACTGTTACTATAAAAAGAAAATCTGTTTTCGTGCGATAACTTGAGGTTCCTTGGGCCGATCAAACTCAAACTTCATGCAGTGCTAAGCATACTTGCATTTTCAAGAATTTTTTTATGGATACCAATGAGGTGATGCTGGTCTTGCTTGTTGACACCATATTGTATCTATTAATCTCCCAGCTTCCTGGACAGGCGACACATCCACTAACGTGGAATTCTTGTTCTGTTATAAAAGGAAAAAAATGTTCAACCATGTTTGAAAAAGAATACATGAAAAGACTTGCTGATTTAAAATGTTATTTCAAACACATTCAATGATTGGGAAGGGCTATGTGGTAGAGTATACAGGATGAACATATTATTTTCTGGTGCGTAATAACCCTTTGTCACTGAAGTGTTTGTTTGTTATAGATGTGAACTACTGCGCCCTCCACACGGCAGACTGTGACCACGGCTGTACCAACAGTCCCCTTGGGTACACGTGTACCTGCCGGAAGGGCTATATTTTACGTAGTAACGGCAACTGTCCAGGTATGTAGGCTTGCAGTACTTACGTTTTGGTTTGTCTTTTCGATGGTTGTTTGGAGACAGCTGAAAGTTACTGACGAGTTGATTTATATATAATTTCTCTATTTTTATTAATAATGAATAACAAAGTTCTCTCAAAGAAACACGCTTTGTAATCAAGAAAACACATACAGAGCTTGAGGCCTAAACATTGTGTTGTTGTCATTCTTCTGCCTCAGACATTGACGAGTGTGTTACGAAAAACGGTGGCTGCCAGTATTTTTGCCAGAATACTGCCGGAAGTTACGTATGTTCCTGTCCCCAGGGATACATGCTGGCAAACGATGAAAATAGATGTGATGGTAAGTGTCCAAACCGGAACCAGAAGAGGCATATCAACATAATAGAAATTTTAATAGTATTGTATATCTTGTAGAATTTGTTTCTAAGTTCAAGAATTTCAACCAAAAAAATAGTTTTGGTTACATAACTTTAACTGGAGAATAATTGAATAATGTAAAATGACCATACAGTCAGTGTGAACAATACTCTATATGTATCATATGTGTGTGAACAATACTATATATGTATCATATGTGTGTGTGAACAATACTCTATATCCATACAGTCAGTGTGAACAATACTCTATATGTATCATATGTATGTGTGTGAACAATACTCTATATATATCATATGTGTGTGAACAATACTCTATATGTATCATATGAATGTGAACAATACTCTATATGTATCATATGAGTGTGAACTATACTCTATATGTATCATATGTGTGTGAACAAGACTCTATATGTATCATGTGTGTGTGTGAACAATACTATATATGTATCATATGTTTGTGAACAATACTCTATATGTATCATATGTATGTGAACAATACTCTATATGTGTTATGTGTGTGAACAATACTCTATATGTATCATGTGGGTGTGAACAATACTCTATATGTATCATATGTGTTTGTGAACAATCCTCTATATGTATCATGTGTGTGTGTGAACAATTCTCTATATGTATCATATGTGTGTGTGAACAATACTCTATATCCATACAGTCAGTGTGAACAATACTCTATATGTATCATATGTTTGTGAACAATACTCTATATGTATCATGTGTGTGTGTGAACAATACTATATATGTATCATATGTGTGTGAACAATACTCTATTATATGTATCATATGTGTGTGAACAATACTATATATGTATCATATGTTTGTGAACAATACTCTATATGTATCATGTGTGTGAAAAATACTATATATGTATCATATGTGTGTGTGAACAATACTCTATATGTATCATATGTGTGTAATACTCTATATGTATCATGTGTGTGTGTGAACAATTCTCTATATGTATCATATGTGTGTGTGAACAATACTCTATATCCATACAGTCAGTGTGAACAATACTCTATATGTATCATATGTATGTGAACAATACTCTATGTGTGAACAATACTCTATATGTATCATGTGTTTGTGAACAATACTCTATATGTATCATGTGGGTGTGAACAATACTCTATATGTATCATATGTTTGTGAACAATCCTCTATATGTATCATGTGTGTGTGTGAACAATACTCTATTTGTATCATATGTGTGTGAACAATACTCTATTATATGAATCATATGTGTGTGAACAATACTCTATATGTGTTATGTGTGTGAACAATACTCTATATGTATCATGTGGGTGTGAACAATACTCTATATGTATCATATGTATGTGTGTGAACAATACTCTATATATATCATATGTGTGTGAACAATACTCTATATGCATCATATGTGTGAACAATACTCTATATGTATCATGTGGGTGTGAACAATACTCTATATGTATCATATGTATGTGAACAATACTTTATATGTATCATATATATGTGTGTGAACAATTCTCTATTTGTATCATATGTGTGTGAACAATACTCTATTTGTATCATATGTGTGTGAACAATACTCTATTTGTATCATATGTGTGTGAACAATACTCTATTTGTATCATATGTGTGTGAACAATACTCTATTTGTATCATATGTGTGTGAACAATACTCTATATGTATTATATGTGTGTGAACAATACTCTATATGTATCATGTGGGTGTGAACAATACTCTATATGTATCATATGTGTGTGTGAACAATACTCTATATGTATCATATGTATGTGAACAATACTCTATATGTATCATATATATGTGTGTGAACAATACTCTATTTGTATCATATGTGTGTGAACAATACTCTATATGCATCATATGTGTGTGAACAATACTCTATATGTATCATGTGTTTGTGAACAATACTCTATACGTATCATGTGTGTGTGAACATTACTCTATATGTATCATATGTGTGTGAACAATACTCTATATGTATTATATGTGTGTGAACAATACTCTATATGTATCATATGTGTTTGTGAACAATACTCTATATGTATCATGTGTGTGAACAATACTCTATATGTATCATATGTGTTTGTGAACAATACTCTATATGTATCATATGTTTGTGAAAAATACTCTATATGTATCATATGTGTGTGAACAATACTCTATATGATACATATAGAGTATTGTTCACACAAATGATACAGATAGAGTATTGTTCACACACATATGATACATATAGAGGATTGTTCACAAACACATATGATACATATAGAGTAGTGTTCACACACACATGATACATATAGATTATTGTTCACAAACATATGATACATATAGAGGATTGTTCACAAACATATGATACATATAGAGTATTGTTCAAACACATGATACATATAGAGTATTGTTCACAAACAAATATGATACATATAGAGTATTGTTCACACAAATGATACAGATAGAGTATTGTTCACACACATATGATACATATAATAGAGTATTGTTCACACACATATGATACATATAGAGGATTGTTCACAAACATATGATACAAATAGAGTATTGTTCACACACATGATACATATAGAGGATTGTTCACAAACACATATGATACATATAGAGTAGTGTTCACACACACATGATACATATAGATTATTGTTCACAAACATATGATACATATAGAGTATCATATGTTTGTGAACAATACTCTATATGAATCATATGTGTGTGAACAATACTCTATATGTCTTATGTGTGTGTGAACAATACTCTATTTGTATCATATGTGTGTGAACAATACTCTATTTGTATCATATGTTTGTGAACAATACTCTATATGTATCATGTGTGTGTGAACACTACTCTATTTGTATCATATGTTTGTGAACAATACTCTATATGTATCATATGTGTGTGAACAATACTCTATATGTATCATATGTTTGTGAACAATACTCTATATGTATCATGTGTGTGAACAATACTCTATATGCATCATATGTGTGAACAATACTCTATATGTATCATGTGTGTGAACAATACTCTATATACATCATATGTGTGAACAATACTCTATATGTATCATGTGTGGGTGAACAATACTCTATATGTATCATGTGTGTGAAGAATACTCTATATGCATCATATGTGTGAACAATCCTCTATATGTATCATGTGTGTGAACAATACTATATATGCATCATATGTGTGAACAATACTCTATATGTATCATGTGTGTGAAGAATACTCTATATGCATCATATGTGTGAACAATACTCTATATGTATCATGTGTGGGTGAACAATACTCTATATGTATCATGTGTGTGAATAATACTCTATATGTATCATATGTGTGTGAACAATACTGTATATGTATCATATGTGTGTGAACAATACTCTATATTTATCATGTGTGTGTGAACAATACTCTATATGGATCATGTGTGGGTGAACAATACTCTATATGTGTCATATGTGTGTGAACAATACTCTATATGTATTATATGTTTGTGAACAATACTCTATATGTATTATGTGTGTGAACAATACTCTATATGCATCATATGTGTGAACAATCCTCTATATGTATCATGTGTGTGAACAATACTCTATATGCATCATATGTTTGTGAACAATACTCTATATGTATCATATGTGTGTGAACAATACTCTATATGTGTCATGTGTGTGAACAATACTCTATATGTGTCATATGTAGGATTTGTTTCTTTTTTCGTAATTTTTATTGTCAGATATCAACGAATGTCTTGTAAATAATGGCGACTGTTTTACTGACCAGATATGCATCAACACGTGGGACGGTCACGTGTGTGTAGGTCCGTACACGGCTACTGTAACGGGCTTAAGTAAGTATGTACTATATATGTGTGTGTCGGTTTAGTCTCGCATAAGAGTGATCGCATGGTGGGGTTTCACTGTTTGGAGGGGGGGGGGGGGGGGGGGNTAAACAAACAAAATAAATCCAGTTTTATGAACTGCCCAACACACAGATGATCAGTATTGTTTCCTTCAGTTTTTTTTTTTTTTTTACTGTAACATGCGAACATATTTGATGTCGAATTATTTACATTACTTTTCAATGCCTTTTACCATACAGTCTCTACTGAAGACATGCTGACCCCCTCCATGTTTGTGGGTTTAATCATCTGGATGGCTGTTGTCACATTTATCATCATTTTGGGGGTGATCACGCTACTTCCGGAACTTAACCGCCTGGCCCATCACTTGGAAGCGCCACCGTCCTCGCCCCCGTCCGTCGTAATGGAGGACCCCTCGCCAGACTACTTTTTTCCTGCTTATTTTCCACGCGTACGCCTGGGGTTCAGGGACTATTATAGCAACGCTCGGTCGGAGACCAACGAGAAACGCCTTCGTCTGAATTAAAAAATCCAAAAATTGTATCAAATGGAGTTGGGTTTTGTTTTCATTTCGTTTGCGTGGTCACACATCCTAAATGGTGTTGCCTTCATTCTCTGCCTGCGTGATTACTCATTAAATTATCAGACACAACGAATCCACTTGTTCTAATATAATTTACAACAGAAAACAACAAATAAAAGGAAAACGAAAAGGTCCCAATGACTCACCATAATAAACATCAATTGTCAGTCAATTAAAAATAAGGTCCCTGAGTTCCATCAAGTTGTAGACCAACTAAAACCTGATATAATAGTAGGAACAGAGTCTTGGCTAAAACCTGAAATTAGTAATGCAGAAATATTTCCAACTGACAACTGCGATATATATAGAGAGGCCGTCCCGATAAAAATGGTGGTGGTGTATTCCTTGCAATTACTAAAGAGCTCATATCAGAAGAACAACCAGAGCTAGATACTAAATGCGAAATAATTTGGGCAAAAGTAAATCTCTCCGGATTGAAGTCCATCTACCTTGCTGCCTACTATAAACCAAGTGAAATTGACCCTGATAGCACTGCACCACTGGACCTGTCCCTCTAACCAGTCCCTAGAAATGCCCACACGTGGCTACTTGGTGACTTTAATCTCCCTAAGTATGACTGGCAAAAACAATGCTATAAAAATAATTGCAATACTGCACCCTATTCTGATTTCCTTACCATCATAGAAAATCACAACCTTGAACAAGTTGTAAAAATGCCTATTCGTAAAGAGAATACACTTGATCTCTTCTTTCTCAATCAGCCATCTCTTGTCCACGAAATTAGAACCCTACCAAGTCTTGGAGCTGCTGATCATGACATAGTTTTCATGAAATTCTTGTCACTTTTGGCCGACAACGGAAACAACCACGTCAAATAAAGCTATACAATAAAGCTATTCAATACAGCTATACAATACAGCTATACAATAAAGCTGACTGGGATGCCATTAAGACTGATCTAATTTCTTTCGCTACTTTATACCTGCCGACCACCCAGAATTCCACAACAGAAGAAAAATGGTCAATCATGAAAACTAAACTGGATAGTATTATCCAATTGCATGTTCCAACAAAAATGACCAAATCAAAGGATAACCTGCCCTGGATAAATAAAGACATAAAAAGATCTATCAGAAAACGTGACAAACTTTACAAGAAAATTAAGAGCACTTCATTGGCACACCAATCAAAATTACATCAGAAAATGAAACTTATGAAAACAGAAATTCAGAGAAAAATACGTCAAAGTTAATGGGCTTATGTGGAATCGATTGTTATCGACGACTCTGAAAATATCGACAAGGCCAAACTAAGTAAAAAAAGTCTGGTCCTTTGTTAAAAAAAAAAAAAATCTGATAATTTTGGGGTATCACCACTCAAGGTCGATGGCATAACATACTCCGACCCAAATTCCCAAGCAGAAACACTTAACAGAAAATTCCACTCTGTCTTTACCAACCCAGTCCCACTTAAACTATCTCATCTATGTGAACTTGACCTCTATTCCTCACAAAAGCATGCAAACTTACTACATGTCAGACATCAATATCACAATTCCTGGTGTTTCTAAACTTCTAAAAAACCTGGACCCCAAGAAAGCCACAGGTCCTGATAAAATTTCTCAAAATTTCCTTAAACATGTCTATGCTGAAATAGCTCCAATTATCACAGATCTCTTTAACTGTTCCCTGTCAAGCGGTGAGTTCCCTCAGACTGGAAAACTGCCATTGCAGCCCCTGTATTTAAAAAGGGACCAAAATACCAACCGCAAAATAATCGTCCAATCTCGCTAACCTGCATCCTCAGTAAATTGATGGAACACATCCTTACCAGAAGCATCATGACTCGCGCCGACAACTATAATCTCTCCAGCCCTCTTCAGCATGGTTTTCGCTCCAAATGTAGCTGCGAAACGCAACTTCTTGCTTTTACCTCAAGACATCTATAATAATTTAGCACTAGGTCATCAAACATATGTAGCCGTTATGGATTGTTCAAAGGCGTTCGACAAAGTCGACCATGCCCGACTCATTCTAAAACGCACTCGTTTCGGCATTCGCAGCTAAATCATTGTTGGGTCCAAAATTTTCTCCTTGACCGTATTCAGAAAGTTGCTGTAAGTCGCACCATATCTTCATCCTGTCCTGTCCTCTCTGGAGTCCCCCAAGGCTCAGTCATGGGGCCCTGCCTTTTTCTAATCTATATAAATGATCTACCAGACTCTTATCACAAGCCAATTTAGACTTTTTGCAGACGACACTATTGTCTATGTAACTGTTTCATCCGACTCTGATGCAGAAACACTACAAAAAGACTTAAATCTTCTGGAAAAGTGGGAACAAAATTGGTTAATGTCATTCAACTCTGATAAATGTGAAATTCTACACATCTCAAAGAAAAGGCCGACACACAAATTTAACTATATTCTCCATGGACAAATTCTAAAGCAAGCAGATTCGGCTAAATACCTGGGCTTAACCATCACTAAAAACTTTTGATGGAACACCCACATCAATAACATTACCAACAAGGCAAATTCATCCCTAAGATTCATTCGGAGAAATATTAAAACCACCAATGTAAAAACAAAAGAGTTAGCTTATAAAACTTATGTCCGCCCACACATTGAATATTGTAGCCCCATCTGGGATCCATGGCAGGCAAACCTTACCCATAACGTTGAAATGGTGCAGAGAAGAGCCGCCAGGTACACCCTTGGGTGCTATAACTACACCAGTAGTGTTACAGAAATGCCCCAAACCCTGAACTGGCAATCCCTTGAACAACGCCGTAAATTGACCTCCACCATATTACTATATAAAACCATAAACAGCCTTGTGGCATATGATGGAAACCTCCAAATTCTCCAGCGAACCCGACAACACAAATTCCAGATTCCACACAGCTCCCCAAATTATCATGCAAATTCATTCTTTCCTAGAACAATTCGTACCTGGAACAGCCTCCCAACCTTCATCGCCGACAGTGCAGACCTCTCAACACTGAAGGCAAATCTCCTCTCTCACATATTCTAAGCGTACATGTTGTTTTTATCATATAGTTCTAAAAAATAAAAAATAAAAATACAGGTTTTTAACCGATCTCTCTGACGCCTCTAAATAATGTTCAGTATATTGAACGTTTTTAGAGTATCCTGTTGAAGTTTTTTGCAAATTAACCCATGTAATATGACCTATCAGCCCTGTGATTGGTTGTAAGTTTCAATTGTGACGTCACGTCTAGGACAAGTACATGACGTCACAAACTTACACACTGGAGTCAAAATGGCGGCTTTTTACATTTCAAGGTTTATGAAAATTGTCGTTTTACACAAATTGATGCCACAAATCTTGATTATGTGATAAAAAGGATTTTAAACTGGGTTTTATTTCATATTAAATTTATGAAACTCGTGAAGAATTTTTCATTTTAGCTCGCCAGAGGCTCGCTAAATAGAAAAATTCTTCGACTCTATTTACAAATCTCACGAAATGGTAACTTATGTAAAATCCTATATTTATTCTTTCTGAAATATACGAATAGAAATGCATCTTTTTAGCATTTGATATGATAGTATGCAACCAAGTTCCGTTTGAACATACATATTTTCGAAGATTGCGCTACCTCGCATCATGGAATATGTTTAGTTTAAACTATCTTTTATTTCAGTTCAAGCATGTTATCACAATGAACAGAGAAGACAAAGAGGAATAGGAGCAAGTGTCACAGACACTTATGTAAACCACGGAATTAGGTTATCTAAGTCTGTGTGTAAACCTATCACCAAGTATACTAAACAGCAACTAATATATTCAGTACGTGAAAATACCATTCATACACACAACACACGCATATAATATATATACCAATAACTATAGTTTAAACTTCCTTGGAGTAAGGTGGTTGGGGTAAGACATATATTGTACAAGTTATGTACAAAATATGCATTTTAATCATTTGAATTGGCAGAAAACGTCAAAAGCAAAAGCAATATAATAAAAATACTCGGAACACTACTGCTAACAGCGCATTTTATCGCTGATCATTAATTAGTTAAAAATGTATTTATCGATAATTGTTGTAAGTTTATTGATGATTATAATTGGTTGGCAATTGATGTCATCTGTATTTATTAACGTATACATAAATTGAATATTATATCAATTGGTAACTAATAAATTATGTATTCATTTGTAATTGATGATAATCCCAGTGATTGGTTACTGGTTTAAAACGGTAACTATTGATACAAAAGTCGATTTATAAATCAGACTGTCGCGGATCGTTTATCTGGAATGATCGAACCTGTTAGTTTTACTATGACAGAAAGTTAAAGAGGTTTCCTTTTAAGTCTACCGAGAATGACATGGTACATGTATCTCGTGAGTCTGATATGCTATAATATTTAAGTGACCTACCAAAAGTTTAATCAACTCCCAAAACATGACAAGAGTCAAGAGCAGAATGACAATCGATGTCGTACCCCTATAATACGTCAAACACCTTTCTTATTACAGTGGCCCACTACTTAACATACTTTATCATTAGGGATTCTCTATCTGTGGGTCTTGCTTTTATGCTTTCTTTGGAGAGTTCTGTGGAGATATGGTTCCTTACGCAATGCAGGTCCCCACTACCCTAACCAAAACTGTGTATTGGTAGTCTTAAGCCGACTGTCAATGTCAAACAGCCGAACCTATCACATAGAAAATCGTATTTGTTATCGTTATTGTTGTGTAACGACCTAATCTGGCGTGTAAACTGTTTTAGTGGCAGTGAGATATGGCGATATGTTATGACACCCTAGGTAAATAGTAGAGTAAGATTGTCGGGAGTAGTAACTGGATAGCTCTCCAAAAGTACTTATCTACATATAACACCCTTCGTATCTGTTCCAACATCAAACATTGAGTATATAAAGGTTCTGAGTACTTATGTAATTCAATGCTAAACAATGATCGCTATTAATGGTCAGAAAGTGACCACCGGGTGCATTGTCCGGTGGTCAAATCTCGAATGACTAGTTGGTGCTAACGAGTTAATCTGTAATCGCTTTAGCTTGGTAGGTTAATGTAACTAATACTACACCTTTAAACCTTGTGGCAATATTTAGATCAAGTGCCGGTAATATACTGGTGGTCAATTTACTTGACCATAACTGGTCATCTGCCAAATTGGCCCGGACAATCAGACCTCTATATGTTCGGTTGATTAAGCACTGGATACACTGTACATTAATAGGTTAGACGATATTGTCCGGAAGTACTCGGCATGTAATTCTACACAGTAGGGCACTGGTCAAGCTGCTCCGGACAAAGACATATTGTGTTGGTTTTGACCACTCGAGTTTAAGAAACAGTCGGAGAGACTAGACAGGCAAGCAATACACATCCAAATATTTGAGTAGATTGTAAGACAATTATCATTCCTGTGGCGATGGTCAACTAGATCTGTTCGTTATGTGGTGAGTATAGATATCGGCTGTCTTATCTCCGGTAACGATTGATTTGTTTTTATTGATTATGTACAGGTATCCCCCTTACCGTAAGTAACTTGACGTCAGACACTACGTACATTAGGGCGAGTCTCCAGGGACCAATTACACAGGTGATGTTAAAATCTGGTGGTCGTTATAACAATGGTAGTCCGCAACTTTTTACAACTTCATCGATTTGTAGTCCATTTGAATTCCTGTCAGGGCCATATATAACGAATCTCGTTATTTACCGAACATACATTTAGCCCATCACGATTTGGTTAATTCGCAAAAATTTGAAATTACTTCAAACTTCTTGATTCCACAGGAAACCGAGAATCGACATTTTTGTAACATTTCACTATACTGTAATAGTATCAAATCAATATTTATATGAGAATTTCTATGTCCTTAATTATAGCATGTAGTTTTAGTAATGTTGCACTAATGAAACCTACAGAAGCTTTTCCTATCAAAGTACGGAAAATTATAGTTATGAAATTTAGGAAGCAATACTTTTGGTTATCCATCTGCAAGAATAATAAGAATGCATAGAAGAAATTAGCAAAGATTAAGGTGCAATACTTATGGGTACCTAACTGCAGGAATAAGTAGAATTTCTGGAAGAAATCGGCAAAAATGAAAGAAGCAGTCCTTTTGGTTACCTTACTGCAGGAATAAGTAGAATGTCTGGGAGAACTTCGCTATATTACGGGATTTTTTTAAATGCACTAATTATAATAAAAGAGTTGATAATTAATAAAATAAAAAAAGTATGCGAAAACGTGTCGCTCACCCGCCCGAAAAGCATATAAGCTTTTGGCGTGGCAACTGTCGTTGGTCAGGCGTCAACATTTTATTTCTTTTGAATATTTGACCTGTAGCGTTCTAGGAAGTTTATTCAAATAAGTGACCTTTACTCACTTTGGAGATCAGAGTTAAACGTATACAGATCTTTACACGGTCTTTCTTCTAATAGCCAAGATACCATTGGTAATGATATTTGGACTGTGCTCAAATAAAGGGCATTGATCCACTTCAAGGTCAATTTAATGTGACCGGGCGGAATGCTGTGTTGGGTGCCTTTGGAATGGTATTTCAGTGAGATAGCACTATAAAGTCGGCATCAGGAGGCAGTTACGCCAACATACCCTGTCTTAAGCACCCATACACACATGCACGCAAACATAACACATGGAGGCACGTTCTCAAATTACCTCAGCTGTTAATAGGAAGATAACTAAATTAAAACTAAAACCTAGGCCACAGGAGATAAATGTAAACTGTAAATCTTTACGCTAATTCTTCTGAAGTTTTAGATGACATGTTATATGGCTATGGAGTTAATTCAAATGAATGACCTTTGCAAACTTTCATGGTTACAGTGGTCAAATGTATTAAAATCTTAAAACAATTTGTTTTAAAGATCCATCAAGTATTTGTCCTAAAACATTCTCGAATGCAGTAACACTTATCTTGGGTACTTCATGCGCCCTCTAGTGGTTTCGATAAAGTAACTCTGGTACTTTGTGTGCCATCTAGTGGTATCGGAATAAGTAACGCTGGTACTTTATGCGCCCTCTAGTGGTTTCGATAAAGTAACGCTGGTACTTTGTGCGCCATCTAGTAGTGGTTTTGATAACGTAACGCTTGTACTTTGTGCGCCATCGGGTGGTTTACTGGTACTTTATGCGCCATCTAGTGGTTTACTGGTACTTTATGCGCCATCTAGTGGTTTACTGGTACTTTATGCGCCATCTAGTGGTTTCGATAAAGTTACACTGGTTATTTACGCTCGATCTAATCGAATCGGTAGACGAGGGACATTACGTATACAATGCGATCTATCGACTGTTAAATCAAACATGTTCTAAACATAGATTGATACATGTATTTGCTGTTCAGCTACTGGTCAAGTTGAGACACTTGGACATTGGAGGTCTGCAAAGGAACGGAAGGCGACACAAGGCATGTTATCTATAACTGACCAAACACCAATCTCAGGTGTTGACTGTAAACTCCAAACTTCATGTAGGGGATAAGTGCGACAAGATCATGGTATACCACTTCATGTCCGACTTTCGTACAGCCAGACTAGTACACAGATCCCACTCTGATAGCCAGACTAGTACACAGAGCCCAATCTGATAGCCAGACTAGTACACAGAGCCCACTCTGATAGCCAGACTAGTACTTACAGCCCACTCTGATAGCCAGACTAGTACACATAGCTCACTCTGATAGCCAGACTAGTACTTACAGCTCACTCTGATAGCCAGACTAGTACTTATAGCCCACTCTGATAGCCAGACACAGACGGTTGTACTGTAACGACCCGATGTTTCATCATCTGCGCCATCATTACACTCATTGAAAAACTTATCTTCAATTTACGGTTTTGAAAAATGCTGTACACGAATAAACTGTTAAAGTTGAATTCGATCCATTTTCGGAATCCAAGCGTTTCCAATAACACATATTGCAGGGAACGTAAGACAGCGCAACCCGTTGGTATCAAATAACAAAATTAGAGTATGATGTCACCGACTGATATCGGACAACACAAGGACTCCCTTGATATGTTAGATCAGGACAGAAGTGGTCAATTGTGTTGTTCACCGTTAGGAGTCGTGTGATACGAACTGGACTGAGGTGGGTTTCAACATATGCTACAATGTATATATATATATATGGGAATGTTATTGGCGATTAGTTGCAAGATTGGGCAAAGGGGGTTGCTAATGCGAAAAATATCAATAAGCTAGTTTTAAGGAAAATTACCCGTTCAAAGAAAGAAACCACACTCGGGTCAGTTCTTCCTGTACATGGAATATGTGGTCACCCCATTTCAGTTCACTGACAACATTACACAACAAAGGTTGTCACTGGTACACAGTACGTGGACAGGGCCACACGACGTCATCAAAAGTGGAAAGTAGTGAGGTCTTTATTTGTGGCGCCAGTAACGCCACACCCCAGAAAGGTTTATTGCTATAGGTACAAGCGTCGTGACGAGATGATGTTTGTCAACCGGAGTTTTGAAATCCGCCTTACAAAGATTCTTGACCGCTCCTCATGTCCTGTGTATACCCTGACCTAACTTTAAAATACCCAACAAAGTATCATAACATACTCAGTTGACAGAGTTGTGACGTAGTGGCCAACCCAGGTGTGTATGTATCACGGACCGACAATCTCTGCTGTATTGTATACGTTCGCAATACACATCAGACGGGCGTAAAACAGACAATATTGACGAACCTTGACGTGTTTTCACTTATGACACGCTGACTTTGGTGCACCTAAAAGCGCAACCATGAAATAAAAAACAGTATAATTAGAAACGACAAAGACATGATTTTTCCAGATTTTAGTTCGTTTATTACTGTGATGTCATACCTTCCATTGCTCAATAACAAAAATACAGTATAGGTATGTTGACAAATTATGCGTTTTATTCATCTCAAAAATACATTTCGGGAAAAATAAACAGTATGAAATATATTGTCATTTGAGGATTAACTTACTGGTGTACTCTCAGTATGATCCCTCCCTTCAAACTACAACTCTTGCCAATATCTCGAGGGGATGCTAGTTCATTGTTAATACAATATGATTATCTAAAAAGGAAAACATTCGGTTAAGAATATCAACATTTCGCTCCCAATATGCTTCGACAAAAGATATAATAAAAAGCATTAAAATGATTTATTTTCTTTTAAAAGTATTGCAAACATATAAGTAAAGGAAACTCTCAATTGACTGTAAGAAAGTTTGATGAAACTGCAGCAGATTTGTAATTCGTGTTTAGCTCATTAAGTCCAGAGTGGTATTGTAGGCCAATTACGACCTTATCAAGCTATAATGATGTCTTCTCAACCAAACATATCTGTCCCACTCATCTTTGTTATCTCTCTGCGGTGTTCCAGGCCAGCCATTTTGGTCGCCGTGACCCTGTTCTGTGTGACAGCGCAAGGACAAGAGGTCAAGGTAAGTATCTAACGTTGCCATTGGAGGTAGTAATGTGTACATACTCAGTATGCAATTACGATATTTCGTTATTTCAAACATAACACCGTATTTATACAGAATAATGAATACAGTCTTCAAGATTCAAATCTGGAGATGAAGTTTAAACTATAAGATTGTTCACGTTGGCCAATTCTCCTGAACCCATTTGATTAAGACTGCACACGATAAAAAAAAAACTTGCGTCTAGCTGTCAGTGTTATGTGAATAACATCTCTATTATTTTGATATATATCAGACAAGCTTATCGTGGAACGAGTGGACGCCATGGTCAGGGTGCTCCAAGACGTGCAACCAAGGTGTCCAATACCGGAACCGGAAGTGTGTCAATGAACGGTGAGTTCATCATTTAAGATACTTCATTACATTCCTTTCACCGACATACTTTTATTTTTGAAAGTGTTTGGAATGTTTGTACATCTTCATTGTCGATATGCGTATGGTATCCCGGTATTCCATACATGTAGCTCGGAATGAACAAACCCATAGAACGGGTATCCATATTAGCTATAAAATTGTATCTGATGTTCTTTATGACTTTGTTCAAGATGCTGGAATTAAATTTTCAGTTTCATATGAAATTTTGCTCGATTTTACTTTGTGCAAAAGTATTCTGATATTTGACATGAACTTTACATTCACTAGGGCTGCCATATTGAAAGTCTTGTTGTACGTAATGCGGTAATTATATTATGTATCCGTATTTTACCGTTTCATTTACCTTATTATTAGAAATATTACCCATCCAATGTTAAAATTCTTATAACAAACGCAAAGTGTGATATCGGTATGGAATGACACTAAGTGACATATTCACACGTTAGTAACGCCAGGCTTGTACCAGGGTTGACACGTTAGTAACTCCAGTCTTGTACCAGGGTTGACACGTTAGTAACGCCAGGCTTGTACAAGGGTTCACACGTTAGTAACGCTAGGCTTGTACCAGGGTTGTCACGTAAGTAACGCCAGGCTTGTACCAGGGTTGACACGATAGTAACGCCAGTCTTGTACCAGGGTTGACATGTTAGTAACGCCAGTCTTGTACCAGGATTCACACGTTAGTAACGCCAGGCTTTTACCATAGGGCCCATTATTCTTACCCAACATGCTGTAATGAGTTTAAGTTCTCGGTTTATTTAAAAAAATGTTGCATGTTTACAAGGAAGCATCGAAATATAAGGAAACACGGTGATGGTTCCTAAGGGAGAAATGTACATTGTACGTTAACTATTGTGTGTCCTATTTCAGAGGAGAGCCGAGTCCGAACCCCAGTTACTGTAGTGGTCCAGGCATGGAGTATCGGCTGTGTCAGATACAGGTAATCACCTCTAATTAAACAGGTGTGAAAAGAGCTAAGGCGGGTTGCTATGCCTATTTCCCCATAGGTGTCCCCGCTAGTGCGCGCGTGCCACCGTGTACTGTTATGACGCGTTCTCAGGTATATTTTTTTTATACATGTAGCTATATCGGAATCCCGTGTCTAAGAATAGATTAGTGTAAACAGCCGAATTCAAGGCCATGGCTATTGAAGCATGCGTTTCACGATAAAGACTCACCAAAATGCTTATTTCGCGTTATTTCGATGAAATAAAAACAATCAATCATTACCAACAAGTTTTGAAAGGATTCAATTATCATTACTACTTCCTGCGTCATGCCGTTACCTGCTTTCTTACAAAACACACATCTTGATTTTGTTTTTCCTGCATATATGAATGGCAAATTGATATATATAATTTTCTAGAAACATGTCTTACACGTGTATTGCGATCCTTACTTTGTGCGGCAGTCTTCCTGCATTTCAAACAATTAAAACTATCCTCAACGATGATTTTTTTGGTAGTATATTTGTGATAATACTGTAACACGGCATATTGTTTGTTTGGCCTTCTTTTATTCTGACTCAACAATCCCACATTGTTTTGTATTTCAGCATCATTTGTTTGTGTTTAAATAATAGATAAATTACTAGTGCTAATTCGAGGGTAAAACAATTCATAAATATCTTTTAAGATCAATTCCTTATCTACAAAGCGTAGCTGTGTAAACGTGTACAGTGATTTGTTGACATGATTCCATAGAAGATAAATCAATAGGTATGTAATTAAAATATAAATAAAATGTACAATTGATTTGAAAAATATTTGATTAATTAATTAAGGAAAAAGATCACATGCCTAAATTTAATAATAAAAAAAAAAAATGAACGTGGATTCGAACTTGCACATTGACTTCGCTCATGCTTGTTTTTCATTATTTTGAGCACTTTCCCAAAGGAGGACCACTTTTCCGGAATACGATTTGCTTTTGCATATTACATCACGGAATAAAAAAAGCTCATTCAAAAGTTGGTCCTCGGATGGGAAAGTGTTGAAAGTACTTTTTTAAGTCTGGGAAACTCCATCATTTTCATAGATATAGTGGATATGGCCATAGTTGCAGTATCATATTCACAATACCTAATAACTCATTAGTTCAAAAATTCATATTCAATTGGTTTTACATCTATTCTCTGCATTTTCGCTGCTAGAAATTACTTACTGACTAATTTACTGATTAATATTTTTTTCCCGTTTTTAGAAATGCCGACTTCGGGAAATATGGCAGTTTTCCGCCATAGCTCTTTGTCACAAATTAATTCATTACGTGATTACAATTAAGAAAATATTTATATAAATAAGTCATATCTGAAGTTTTATGCTTAGTGCTTGAAATTAATCTGCATTCGAAAAATTGGGTAACACAGATTGAAACTTTTTTCAGCGGAACAGCAATAATTGATTACCAACCACTGTTCTAAGAGTTATCATAGTATAAGTATATTGCAAATTAACAGAAATGTGCGGGAAAGCAGGTTGACGAGCGTACCGCACAGTGTCGTAGATACAACGGTCAGTTAGTGAGAGGTCGCCGCTACCAATGGGACAAGCGCATTGACCGTAAGTACAGGTATATTGCAGTCATACTCAGGGCCTGAATTGATGAAAATGTTCTAATGCTCAAACATGGATCCTGTGCTCAAACCAGCTTTAATGTAACTCACTTAAATCTTGTCGAACGATCCAAAGGTCAATTGTAAACATTGGAAACAATATTCAATTGACATTGGCATGAACTTTTTTAATTATTTATAACCGGAACAAGAAATTAACCTTGAGCACAAAATCCATGAATAAGCATGATAACGGTTTCATGAATACGGGCCCTGATGTTTGCACTTTATTGGGAAGGCATTTTCAGTCTATTTTTTGTAAAAAATACATATATGTAAACCTATACCCTACACAATTGCAAAACATGGAAGTATCATATTAGGAGTAAATTGTTATGGATGTGGATTTACGAAATAAAAAGTGTCGTATGTGACTTTCGTTAGAAGTTATATTTCCCTTAACATTAGGATTTCCTCACCCACCATAGAACATCATTATCTGCTATAGATAGTGACATGCAGCCATAATCCGCTGCTTTTATTGGGAGTTACGTCCCTTCTATCTGGAGGCGCGAAAATGAAATGGACGTGGCGGTAAATGTCTGCTCCTGTACGCCAGAGACGTATAAAGTATGTGTTATATACGTCTCTGTGTACGCTTTTCAGGTGTATGTAAAGTGATGAACCGTGATGATACTTTGTCAAAGATTCAGCCAACTTTGGGTTGTAAGAAGGATGCAGGATAACCATTATGTTCCCATCATACAAAAGTACATGTGGCATTCAATGCCACATGAGAATGCCACATGACGTGGATACGATGACACCAAATAAAATACCAACAATAGATTCACAGATTTCAGATTCAATTACAGCTTAAATATCAAACTAGATTCTGAAAAATAAGTACCGACTTGTCCTCAAGAAGTTCCGAAAATAAAAGTGCCGAGGTGTCCAAGTGCCGAAAATAAGAGTGCCGAGGTGTCCGAGTACCGACTTCACCAGGTGCCGATCCGCGAGGCGTCTGTGATAAGATAACAGGTCATCTCGGCATTTGCGGTTCGAGACACATCAGCATTGTTTCTTAAAACGTTATATCTTTGAACTATTCGACAGTTGATGTGTGTGCATGCATGTGCTGACAATTATAATTAACTCCAATTGGGATATATGATAGTGGTTGGATTCCATAGAAGACGTAGTCTCCCACTTTCAACGATTTATTTCCATTTATATGAATTTTGAATACATATCACCACAAATTGTGAATACAATGACACCAAATACCAACAATAGATTCACGGATTTCAGATTCAATTGCAACTTAAATATCAAACTAGATTCTGAAAAATAAGTACCGACTTGTCCTCAAAAAGTGTAACCAAGTTCCGAAAATAAAAGTGCCGAGGTGTCCCAAGTACGAGGCGTCCAAGTAGTGGCAAGTACCGACTTCACCAGGTGCCGAGGCGTCTATGATTCTTCAATGCACAGCATGATAAATGTCCCTCGAGTCTCTCCTAATCATATATTTAGCTATATATCACACCACAATTTAGATATCAAGAAATGTAAGATATGATTTCGTTTATGTTTGTTCCTCCTTGCATTTACAGACCAACAACTGACTTTTTTAGTTACTTATGCTTAATGGGCAAGCAACTAATTAGTCACATTGGTCCAGATGTACACATAGAACTACCTCCAATTAACCTAAGGTTTTAAATATAGTAAGTCTTAAGATATAATTGACCAATTTCCAATGATATATAATTAAATCGCACATAGGTATCCTGTTCTGCACATTATTATATAATTTGAAACAATTCAAAACTTTCAATAGTGCTCAACATCATCATGCAGTGCTCTGTGATTTCCACCCTAAATCATTAAATCAGAATCCAATGTCTTCCGGACTTCACTTGAGAAATGTTTAAACTACTGTATGCATCACTCACTCAGATCAGTTAATTGTCTGGATATAGGAAATATCTTTTGAAAAAAAGTATTGCTCCACTCTCTTTGGGAAATTTGATAGATCCTATATATAACAGAAAGTATCCTCACACATTACTTCGTGCCAGGCAGCTATGCATGCACCTGCAAGTCGGGATGAGCATGTTTTGTCTTACAAAGTAATAACATTTTTGGAAAGTAAAATAACAGATTTTTTGCAATCCTCGTAACATTTTTAGGGCACTAGCCTTTCTTAACGTAGGACAAGGTTAACTCTTTTGAAAAGAGAAAGTGGTGAAAGAGTTTTAAAACTTTGTATTTCCATTACCTGATTCAGTAATTAAAAAAGGCAGAAAAAAACCTTTGTGGCAAAAATGAAAGACTAATATAAATATTGACCTTGACGCCATTAAAAGGTGACTGGAATAGACCACTGTATTCATATTTTCGACCTTAATTTTACAGCAACGTGTTCCTAAATATAGCAATATTTAATTTTAAAATGAAGAAGATATTCATCATTTACAGGTTTACTCCCTAATTTAAAACTCTCGTAAAGGAGTTATATTTGTCATGAGTGTGAGATATTCTTAAGATGTTAAGTAAAAAAATACATGTATTCTTAAATAAGGTCAGGTAGATCAATACATAATTTAGGTGAATTAGTATGTACTAATTATGACAAACCTTGATATGTCCACAGTCCAGAACAGGTGTGAACTGTCATGTCGTGCCATCTACTACAACTTCCACTACAAGTTTGCTGACCGAGTTGAGGACGGTACACCATGTGGGAGTGATGATTCCTCTGACGAAGTCTGTGTCCTGGGCCAGTGCCTGGTAAGTACCTATATAACGATTTCTGCTTAAGGGTAAAGCTTTAAGCCTTTTATAGGCCAATATTTAGAGTCGGGGTTGAGATGACATCCTTCAAGTTCAAAGACTATAATTTTCATGTAATTAGTGAGGTTCTTGACTTTATCCTCGTTTTACGGTAAGAAGTTGGAAGCCTTTCTAGATCTGCAGAGGAAAACAATACTGGATCTGCCAGACTGCCACAGGCATTACTTTCATCTGTATTGTCAGTGTATCCACTGCCCTTATAACAGAAGTATTTTCTTTTTCAGTGGATCATATATTATTTATTTCATCAGCATCATTTTCACTGAATCAGTACATGTATCAACAAGCTACACTTCAGTGGTGTTATTATTTTATCCACTGGCTTTATTTAATCACTGTTTGGGGAGAGTCTTTAGCATTCTTGAAATAAAGTGTTTAAATAAAATGATATTTAAAAGATTTGAAAAAAAGACAAAAGCTTTTCTACTTGGTCACAGTCTGACAGATCTCAGGATTAAAGATTTGTTGTAGATTTCGTCTGACACAGAATCTGTCTGGATCTTTGACCTTCTGTTTGAATAAGACAGGTTACACAGATTTTATTTTATACAATCCTTTTCCTGTAGCTATGTATGTGACCAGCCTATCTACAAGTGTGGATGTCATAAACATACAGAGGTCATTTGTGATTATTTCAAGGTCATTAAATTGAAATTAAATATCTAAATGTCTGCTGTTGTGCCAGCATTAAAAGCATGTTACATGTCTTATGGACCAGCGATTTTTGTACTTGCATGGAGTTTTGACTACCTGTATCTAAGGTAGATTCCATGAGTCTCTCAAAAAAAAGGACTTGGGCAAGTCTACCTGAAAATGCTCTCTTTGATAGTTAGTTACAGGGACTTTCGTTATGTCCAAGTGTAAGTCTGTGGTTTGATTATTAATAGATTAAAACAAACTTTTATATCTTTATAGCTTTAAATCTAAATAGACAAATAATTAGAAAAATTAACAAATGAAAATAATATTTCAATAAATTAATTGTGTTCCCAATATTTATTTTATCTTAAAAAGATTATTAAAAGATGATCAATGACCAACCTGACACACTTCTTGTGTTCTGATGATGAGGGTTGAACCAGCTGTAAGAGAATATCATTGTACACACTGCTAATAAGAGTGCAGCCCTATGTACTTGTTGCAGTATAGGAGGAGGATTTATCGATATTATATTTCCCATATAATCTGTGTGTTGTTAACTCAATATCTTGTAAGCTCCTGCCAGAAACCATTATGTGGGTGCTGGCAGACAGACTATTGCCTGCATTATTGAGGGTGTGGTTGACAGACGGTCCTTAGTTTACAGTAAGGAGGCAAGGACAGTGGGTGGAGGACGGTCACTATCTGCAGTGAGGACTGGGTGGTGGACCATAGCATGCAGTATAAGGTCACAATAGACATTGGGTGGCAGACCATGGTATATAAAGGTCATAAGATGGACAATAGATGGGGACAAATGCATGAATTCAGGGTGTGGTGGACAGTAACTGGTAGAGAATAGACAGTGGGGCAGACCATGGCCTGCTGTAAGGTCACAAAATGGTCAGAAGGCGGCAGATCATGGCCTGCTGTTATGGTATGATGGACAGTAGGTGGCAGACCATGGGCTGCTGTTATGGTATGATGGACAGTAGGTGGCTGACCATGGCCTGCTGTAAGGTCACAAAATGGACAGTAGGTGGCAGACCATGGCCTGCTGTAGGGTCACAAAATGGACAGTAGGTGGCAGACCATGGCCTGCTGTAAGGACATGATGGACAATGGGTGGTGGACCATGGCCTGCTGTTATGGTATGACGGACAGTAAGTGGCAGACCATGGCCTGCTGTTATGGTATGATGGACAGTAGATGGCAGACCATGGCCTGCTATAAGGGCATGATGGACAGAAGGTGGCAGACCATGGCCTGCTGTAAGGGCATGATGGACAGTGGGTGGTGTACCATAGCCTGCTGTAAGGGCATGATGGACAGTGGGTGGTGGACCATGGCCTGCTGTAAGGGCATGATGGACAGAAGGTTGCAGACCATGGCCTGCTGTAAGGGCATGATGGACAGTAGGTGGTGGACCATGGCCTGCTGTTAGGGCAAGGTCACACAATAGAAAGTTGGTGGTGGACCATGGCCTTAATTAAAGCAAGATAAGGTGGTTCAGGCAGACAAAGATAATAAGGCGTGACAGACAGTGGGTGCAATGAGGACATTGTAGAGAGAGATGTAAGATCAATGCTTGGAGGAAGGGCACAGAGGAGAGGGGGTAGGTGAACCACAGCCTGCAATAAAGGCACCATTGACAGTGGGTAGGGAGGACCACTGCCTGCAGTAAAGGCACCATTGACAGTGGGTAGGGAGAACCACTGCCTGCAGTAAAGGCACCATTGACAGCGGGTAGGGAGAACCACTGCCTGCATTAAGGACACCATAGACTGGATAGCTGTGGTAACACCATGGTGATAGTACAAATATTCCCAAGACTGAAGTAGCATACAATACCCCATTGTTTTTATATCAGACATTCCTTGATCTGTTGTTTTCCCACACACATCAGTAGTGACAGATATACAAGGTCTAATCCAATGTCTTATGACAAGGTGTACAGTACTTAAATTATAATGCTGGGAATATCTAAAATACTTTACCGGTAGCCATTGGTATTTCTACAGCCTTTCCTTATTTGCTTTAGAGGTTACAGGCTAGTAAAGAGGGTACATTGTTAGCTAATAGATACAATAAACCTGATTTATTTTGTCAGTGTGTAAGAGTCTTGACTGTTATGATAAAACTTCAATATTTACAATCTGGCAATTCCCTTCGTCTGCTGTAATGTATAAGAATGTAAAAAATACTAGAAGATTTTTTCGTTAATAAATATGCAGGAAAGATAAGATATAAATAGATGTTAATTAGGATTGTTGTTCTGATTGTAACAAATGAGTACTTAACTATTTGCCATGGGACGAGATTTTAGTGACTTTAACTGGATTTCAGAGATTAAGGAATCTTCAATAATTGGCACATATTACTCTCTTGCATATTATACCTGTGTTTTAGCGTTATCTCCCATTAGGAGATTTACCACCCCACACATTATACCTGTGATAATTAGCGTTGTAACGATTTACTGATGCATTGATGTATTGGATCGCAAGGGCCACGATACGATGCACCGATGCGGCAAGACTGTATCGTGGTACCTACGATACTTTTAATTTTGTAATCTCCCTTGTTGGAACTCTTTAAAGAAAAATAGTTTAGCACTCAACATACTAAAATGGCGGATGGAGATACATCAAGGCATCTGCACATTTCAAGTCGCCTATCTCGTGACGGTTTACTTTCAAATATGCTAAATCCAAAAATAATGTATTCTAGACGGACACATTGTTCTTTTATTGCAATAAATGTCAGAGAAAACTAAAATATGCGGGAAACACCTCGCTTGTGCACACACATGAATCGTTAATACTTCAATTAAACTTTACAGTGCCAGTTCGAAGAAAAACTCACATTACACGTCTATAACATTAAAAAGGATATGTCAAAACAAGCCAGTCTTACTTCTATGTTGGGGAATAACGACGAAATGTGATAGCTTTCGTTCAAAACCATTTTCGACCGCTATCTGTTAATATATTGCCAATGATCTTCGTCCATTATCAGTTGTTGAAAATTATGATTTTAAGGTACTGATTAAACACTCTAGATCCTCAATATTCTCTCCTTTTCAACTAGTATTATCCTATTATTATAAACAATCCAGAAGTGAAGTTATACGAGAATTGAATGATGTGTACATAGTATTTTTCGGTATTTAATGTTATTTATATTGTACCTATTATATACCCGCCTGATAAAAGTTCCAGGTACGTATCCCAGCCCAAGTATCGTGATACGTACCGTATTGCAGCATCACTACGATACACCCCCCTCAGTGATAATGGTCTTAAATGGTTTGAATCGCTAAGGTATGCAAAACAATGGGAAACGAAAGCCTGCGATGTTTGTCACAGTTATCTCCTTAAGGATATATGCTACCCTTCACATTATGCCTGTTAATTATGTCAGGGTTATCTCCCTTAGAATTTATATTAATTCACTATATTCTTTTGAATCTTTCAGATGTATTACCATATATAAACCCAATCTAAATTCATCGATTCTTAAATTCACTTGAAAGTTTACTTGGTGCAGAACTCTTTTTAGAAATGATATACATGTGTCACTGCAATGTTAAATATTCTTTAATTCAGGAAAACCCAGCAAGCTCACTGAATGATCCTTAGACCTTTGTGTACATGTTCCACATGAGTCCCATTTGTTCCCTTAATCTGAATCTGATTAAAGTTGTCAACGGGGAATAACATACTTCAACCAATTTTGCTATCAGTTTAAAACCTCAGAAAAAGTGAAGTTTTTGTACTTGTGCTACATCTCGGAGGCATCGTGCAGTAATGTTAAGATTGCTGCGATTTATTCAAACATATTCATTTGAAAACACAAATTTTGTATTTGTTGTAACCTTGAAGTACGAAGTATGTTGATCTACTTCTGTAAGAATGCCATTCATATAAATAAGGTTTATATTTGTATTGAAAATTTCAGTTTTCAGTGTATAACCATAACAATATGTCGAGAATATTTATATTACAGTATATTTCAGATAATTGTTGAGTAGGTGTATCGATATGGCCGTGGAATAAAGTCCTATATAGATAAGGCTTTAATTTTTGTAACCATAATCTTTCTGATAGGTAGGAGAAAGCTGATAATGTTATTTAACTTCCATGTATTAATTGCTTCTTGTGGCGCTGTGTGTTTATCGGAAGAAAGTCTGGTACATCACCCTATAGTGGTATCATTGTACAGCACTATGCGTTTTGTTTCAGCTTATCTGAGATTTCACTGGGAAAACACACAGACACTTGGTAAAGTAGTTTGGA